GTCCGGATAGGCACTAGTGGTAATGCGGAGCGGGAAAATCGAAACACAGCTAGGAGTCGAGAAGATGAACCTTTCTGAGGTTCCCCTAGTACTTTCACCGCAGAAGCACGACCAAAGGTCGACCACATTCTCCTCGAGGAGGTCGTGTCGATAGCCCTGTGCGCTGCCTCGCCCAAACCCCTCACCGCCCCCAGCGAGCCCTCTTCGTCGCACCGGCTCAACCCCCTCTCGCTCCGCAGGTACGACATCGACATGCTGGAGGAGGATGTAGTCATCCTGTGGTCGCGCTCGCGGAGACCGGCGCACGCAGAGGTGGACATGAAGGTTCGCGAGGCGGCCGCGCCCTTCATCAAGTGGCTCCGCGAGGCCGAGGTCGAGCCGTAAGCCGCGCTCTCGGTCTCGCGCCCATGAGCTCCCGTAGAGGCGGCGCGAGGAGAGGGAGACTGAGGTGAGTTTGTCTGAGCACTTTTTCGACCGCGGACCGGCCGCTTCTTTGTGGACTTTCTCTCACTTTGCGCTTTGCCTGCGCGCTGCGGTGTTTGTGTATTGACTATTGTGAAGTGCGCGTCTCGAGAGGAGCGGAAGAGGCAAGAGTAGCCGGCGGGACTCGCAAGAGTTACTTCAAGAGAGAGGAAGACGACCGAACTCAGATCTCAGATGTCTCACAAGACAGACATCTGGCTAGCCCACATGGAAACATGGGTCGCGTGTCTCGAGCTGGCAAACGAATAGGTCACTTGAGCGCATGTGGGTTGATCGTCGCGATCGCAGCTCGCGTCGCCGGGTCGAGGGCAAGGCAGCCCGCAAAGGCTCCGTGCCCGATGCTGGCGAGTCCCTTTGGCAGCGTGACGCTGGTGAGGGCTCTGCAGCCCCAAAAGGCCATGTTCCCAACCGTGGTGAGGCCGCGGGGCAGCGTGACGGACGCAAGAGCGGAGCATCGGTAGAATGCATTGCTGCCCACAACGGTGACGCCCTCAGGCAACGAGATGGAGGTGAGGGACTCGCAGTAGCAGAACGCGTATGATGATATCTTGGCGACTTCAGCAGGCACCACCATGTCGGGCCATCGTCTGCACAGCGCCTTGCCCACGTTACGAGGCGCCAGCAGACGCCGCGCAAGTTCGCTGGACAGCACAGACTGTCTCCCACCCTCCGCCACCGCCTTTGCCGCCTTGCTCACCGCCGCAAAGCTGGCCCAGTCGCGGGTCGCCAAGCGCCCAGCGATCGCAGTAAGAAGGTCATCCTGCATATCCATCAGCGACCTCAGCTCTGCCTCGGCCACCTCGACTGCCACCGCAGCTGCCTCTGCTGCAGCTGCTGGCTCGGCCACCTCGACTGCCACCGCAGCTGCCTCTGCTGCAGCTGCTGGCTCGGCCACCTCGACTGCCACCGCAGCTGCCTCTGCTGCAGCTGCTGGCTCGAGTACGGGTGCCATCACCCGAAGCAGAACTCTGTGGGCACCGCCGAAAGAATTTGCGCAAATCTGGATGTGAGGTTACCGACTGCACTCCAAGTGCTCCAAGTTCCTCCAAGAGCGGACGGCGCAGACTAGCACACACACCGGAGAATTGAAATCCCAACGGAGCGGGGGGGGCGGCGGCGGCGGCTGCCGTCGGCCACAAAAGTGCATCATATCATCTATCATCATCCCTGGGCCGCGCTTGTCCGGAAATCGCCGAAAGAGAAAAGAAACGCGAACCGCCAGATATAGAATCTCCACATTCTACTCAGCGCTGTCAAGCCCCCTTCTTATTACCTCGGCTCGCGCCCCCTGTCCGGCCGCGGCAGTAGCCCTGCTCTTCAAGCAGCGCGCCGGCGACGCTCGCGATGTGCTTGAAGCGCGCCGGCCCGAGGTGCACGCCGCCGAACCAGCGCGAGACCACCACGATCACATCGCGCGCGCCCTTGTTGTCGATGGTCGACGCCAGTTTCGCACCGCTGCCGCCCTCGCCGTCGTCGTCATTGTCAAAGACGCGCACACCGCTGCTCGCGTCGACGAAGCTGTACGCGACCATGTTGTGGCTCGCCGCCGCGATCTTCCTGTCGCTGAGCAGGTGCGAGAGGACCCAGCTCACCTGCACCACGGCCGGCGGCGGGTGTATGAGCCCCACACTCCGCTCTCCTCGGGGGGAAGGCCCGCGCTAGCGAAGCCACAATCTAGCGAGGCGCGCGCAATCAGGCGCACGCTAGCGAGGCTCCAGGGAGGCGCGCTCGCTCAGGCTCGCCTGCTCCATGCACGTCACGCTCGCGACGTGCGCCTGCATCGTCTCGCCGGGCCCCGACTTTGGAGGGTGGAAGGGCGGGCCGCTCGTCACACACACCCTCCACCGAGGGTCGTCCGGCGCGGACCCCACGTGCCGCACGCGACGACTGTGGCACCGACCCGGGGAGCCGCAACAGCCCGGCGCAGAAGCATCTGCAGACGCCTCCGCCACCTCCGCCGCCGCCGCCGCCTCCGCATCTGCCGCCACCGCCTCCTCGACAGCGGTGAGCTCCTGTCGCAGCAGCTCGACCCACGCAAACACCACCTGCGGCGAGGGCGGGGAGACACGTAGCTGAGCGCTGTGCTGTGCTTAAGCGTGAGACCATTCGTGTGCATATGTCTCGCCTCGGCGCCCTCGTAGAGCTCGAGCAGCTGGTCGACCAGCGCACTCGCGCGGTCGCCAAGCCGCGGCGCGTGCAGCACGGGCGTAGGTGCCTGCAGCGAAGGGTAGTCACGCGGCACAAACACCTCCAGGATTGCATCTGCGCCGAGCCGAAAGCGCCACTCGGATGGCGACGCGATTTCCAGCCGCACAGGCGCGTCGCCAGCGTCGTCGCCGTAGATCGCCTGCAGCGCCTCAAGCTCCTGCGCCGCCGCGGCCGCATCGTCTTCAGACATGTGCGCGTCGGTGCGCTGGCAGAAGAGCGGGAGCAAGGCGCGCCCGAAGAATCCCAGGAGGATTTTTTTTAATACACCGTTGCACAGTGTACAGGTAAGGCACGCCGTACTAGCGCCGGGAGCGTCTCGTAGGTGAGAATTCCGACTGTAAGTAGCACGCTGCCCTGAATGAAGCTTCCGCAGCGCAGCAGCCAGCAGGCGCACCATCGCCAGCGTCCCGATGCTCATCGGACTTGACCCAATTAGTGCCCCCAATGCGCGCCTGCTTGCTGATGTTGGTCGCCGACGCCGCCCCATACTCCGGTCCGTGTGGTGCCCGCCACTTCTTTATTGGCGAACACGCGTGGAGGAACTGCTTCGTGGGCCGCGCGATGCCGCCCAAGGTTTCCACGAGCACCAGCCGCGTTATGGCGTTAACCGTTATTGACCGACTTCGCGTCGTAGTACTGCGCCCCTCGTCCACTTCCAGCCTCCTTCTTGACCCACCTGTCTCCGCCTACGCGTGGTCTTTGACCCATCCCTTCCCACAGTCGAGTGATCGAGCGGTCCGTCCACCTGACGGCCACGCTCCTTGCACCCCCCCCCATAACGCTTTGTCTAGCGTGTTTCCCAAACCCGTATAGGTGGCCCACTGACGCCACGTTGCCACCATTACCCCACGAGCCCCTCCCCGCCGCCGTCGACTTGATGTAATGATGAGCGGCCGGGTTTCAGCACTTGGCCTCGTAATGCACGTCCCGCATCGTGGCAAAGTCGCCGCCGAGCTCGCAGATGTCAGTCACACACGCGGACGTGTCGTTGAGGTGCCGCGTCACCTCGGGCTTTTCCTTATCCCCGAGGATGATGCTGCCGACCGAGCGCGCCCGGATGGCATTCTGGGCGGCCTGCAGCACCCCGTTGTGCTTGGAGGTGCGGTCGCCCTTGCTTGTTGGAGTTGGCGAGGGAGTCGCCCTTGTACTCTCCCACCGTGATGTGCTCGGTCGCCCGCGGCGGCCCGCTCGTTGAAAGTGGGCGCAATCACCGACAGGTAGAGCCCGTACCTGCGCTAAATCACCGTCGGAAGATCCCCGACACGTTTAGACCACGCCATCGGCGACGAACTTGCGCTTCTTGCTGTTGTTGCTGACCTGGGCCGCCATGGTGGGTGATGCGCCTGGGGGGGAGAGAGGGGGACGCCATCAGGGTGGGGGGCGGTCGCTCGGCGTCCACGGGGGGGCGGGCCGCGGCGACAGCGCGCAGGGCAAGCGCGCAGGGCCGCAGCAGAGGGGCAGACCACGCCTCTCCGCGGGGTAGTGGAGAAAAGAAAACCTGGCGCGGCGACATGGAAACAGTCAGTGCAACCAAGAAGAATTTTACTTGAGCAGGGTGTGAGGTTAGCCGCACTCCAACTCTCCACGACCAAATGAAGTGAGAGAAGCCACCCCGTTTCGACCGCATGCTCTAGCGTATCCTGCCTGTACGCCCCGGCAGCGCGCGCTGTCTGTTCTGTCTGCCGTCGCTTCTCACACGCACGCAACAGCCACTTGTAGACGAAACGCTCTTGAGAGGGGAGAGCGCGTGCGTGCTCGCACAGCTATGAAGGTCGGGCCGCAGCAAGCAGATTTTATATCCCGAGGCGGTGCCGCCCGGCGCCGAGCTTTTTTACCTTTCAGGGACGGACGACGGACCTTACTTAATTAAGGGCCTGACTGACTGACTGAGTCCGTACGTAGCTCACTGCCCCGGCATTACGAAATGCAAGGCGCTCTCAAAGAAAAACAGCGCCGCCGCCCCTCTAACCACCTACATAAAGTAAGAGCGCGTGCGTTCCGCATACACACGACACATCTCCATCGCTTCGGTGAAGGGGGTGAACCGCGCCATCCTCGATCGCCGTGCAAAGAAAGCTCGCTTCCGAGCTCTCACGCCGCGCGTAGGGCCCTTAGGGGCCTAGAGAACACAACCCCCTCTCCCTTTTGTCCCAGTACTTTCTCTCCCAGTAAGCTAAAAGTACGTACACACGAGAGAGCTCCCAGTAAGCTTAAGTACGTACGTAACGTAATTTGCAATTCGGTGGGGATTACGCACACCCCAGGACACCACCGCCCGCAGACATCATGGCGTTGGCAGGTCCATCGTCGCCAGCCCTGCCGACGAGCAAACGAACATGGGGACCAGCTACAAACTGATGTCCCGACACAACTGCGCACACCCCGCCACCCGCTCGGGCGCGGCGCGGTCCGTCTCTCAGAGCGCTTCTCACTCCACAGAGGCGTGTCCTGTCAACTGGTGTTCCTCCCACTTCGTTCGAGGAGTTTGTTCGCTCGCTGACGCCGCCATCGTTTGTGCTCATGTCCGGTTCACAGCGCGCCGGCTCTTTCAACACAATGCTGCTCGAAGCGGCGCGCGTGAGGCTGATGACAGAGGGCGCGGCGGGGTGCGAGGTGGTCGACCTCGCTGCGCTAGAGCTCCCTATCTACAGCCAGGACATCGAGGCAACCGGGATGCCGCCGGCTGCGGTTGCGCTCAAGGAAAAGCTCACGAATGCGACCGGCTTCGTGATCTGCTGCCCCGAGTACAACGGGCTGCCCACGCCACTGCTCCTGAACGCGCTCACGTGGGCGACGCGCGGGGATGGAGACATGTACGCGGGTTTCAAGGGCAAAATCGCCTCGTTGCTCTCGACGTCCCCGGGGCCGATGGGCGGCTTGAGGATGCAGCGGATCATGAGCGCGATGTTGCGCGATATGGGCACGGTTCTCATCCCCGGTCACGTGGCACTGGGAGGCTCAACGAAAATCTTCGACAAGACGGGGGCCCTTGTTGATGACGACATGACGTCGCGCATGCAAAGGTTGAGGCGCTGTGCGGGCAGTTGATGCACTTTGCGCGCTTTGATGCCAACCGTGACAAGAACGACTGCATTGTCAAGATGATTAAGCAGCAGAAGCTCGTTGGTGAGTACGGGGCACTCGAGTGATGCTGATGATGCGCCCTTGGGCCTTGGCCGGGAGGAAAGATAAAACCTCAAAAGAGAATATTTCACGTACTTATCTCATCAAAATCGTTTGGGAGACAGCTAATACGTCACGCCCCTTTCCTTAAACCCTGCCTTCTCTCTCTCTGTGTGTGTGACCCCACCAGATATCACCGCTCCCTGTCTAATGTGTCGTGGGAGCGTCTCTTTTTCACTTCGTTCCGTTGAGCGTTGTCGTGCGTGTGCCCCCCCGGGCGCCACGAACCCTCCAGCGGGGGGGCCGCCACCCACGTGTCTTAATACAAGGAGACGTTAACGATTCGCCGGATATCCGGATCGGGGATGTATCACAGCGCTGTGTGGCGGACTGGTGGCGGCCACTGCAGGCGGAAGCAGATCATGGTGCAGGCCGCCGAGACCGCTAGCGCTACACATGCACATGCAGAGTAAGACTTAAATAAATAAATAAAACAGGAGATAGATGGCTGATGAGTGCAAAAAGGAACAGGTCCCCGCCCGTCTCTTTGTGCCGGGTTCTTTGTGTACAGGCAGGATACGCTAGAGCATGCGGCCGAAACGGGGTGGCTTCTCTCACTTCATTTGGTCGTGGAGAGTTGGAGTGCGGTTAACCTCACACCCTGCGCAAGTAAAATTCTTCTTGGTTGCACTGACTGTTTCCATGTCGCGGCGCCAGGTTTTCTTTTCTCCACTACCCCGCGGAGAGGCGTGGTCTGCCCCTCTGCTGCGGCCCTGCGCGCTTGCCCTGCGCGCTGTCGCCGCGGCCCGCCCCCCCGTGGACGCCGAGCGACCGCCCCCCACCCTGATGGCGTCCCCCTCTCTCCCCCCAGGCGCATCACCCACCATGGCGGCCCAGGTCAGCAAGAAGCGCAAGTTCGTCGCCGATGGCGTCTTTTTCGCAGAGCTCAACGAGCTGCTGACGCGTGAGCTGGCCGAGGATGGCTACTCAGGCGTGGAGGTGCGCGTCACGCCGATGCGCACCGAGGTGATCATCCGCGCGACCCGCACGCAGAACGTGCTCGGTGAGAAGGGCCGCCGGATCCGCGAGCTGACTGCCGTCGTGCAGAAGCGGTGGAATTTTTCAGAGAACTCCGTGGAGCTGTACGCCGAGAAGGTGAACAACCGCGGGCTGTGCGCGGTGGCGCAGTGCGAGTCGCTGCGCTACAAGCTGATCGGCGGCCTCGCCGTCCGCCGCGCGTGCTATGGCGTCGTGCGCTTTGTCATGGAGAGCGGTGCCAAGGGCGTGGAGTGCTGCGTCTCTGGCAAGATCCGCGGCGCGCGCGCCAAGTCGATGAAGTTCACCGACGGCTACATGATCAAGTCCGGCGAGCCCAAGCGGCAGTACATCGACATGTGCGTGCGGCACGTCGCTCTGCGGCAGGGCATGCTCGGCGTTCGCGTCACCATCATGCTGCCGCACGACCCGACGGGCAAGACCGGCCCCAAGACGCCGCTGCCCGACCAGGTGCTGGTCCACGAGCCCAAGGAGGAGGCGTACGTGGCGCCGACCACCTCTGTGGATCCCACGAAGTAGTGTCCCTTCAACCCCCGTCTTGTGTGCGCGGCCTCTGCGTCTCTGCGGCAGCCGCACCGCACAGGCCCCTTCAGCCATGTTGCGCCCTTGCGCCCTCGAGGCTCGGCCTGCCGTGGTGTGTTGCTGCGAGTAGTCGTAGCGGAAGCATACATGTGTAACAAGAAACGTCCCCAGAGCTCCCGCCTGAGCCCTGCCACCCCTGCCCCTGGTCCGTCGGGCCGCTGGTGGGGCTCTGCCTCTGGCTGGTATCGAGGTTCGAGCGAGGACCGAGGTGTCGAAATAGGCCCGGGGCCCGCACGACGAGAGCCGCCCCTCGCCGTCGATGAGGACGCGAGCAACGTGGAGATCTGAGCCCGCCCTGCCCTCGCTCAGTGCTTACCCCTCCTTTTGCTTTTCCAGTGTCTCCCGGGGGCTCACAGTCACACTCAGGCTCCCGCCCGTACGGCTTTATAACCCTACAATACGGATTGAAGATCCCTGAGACTGCTCACACCAAGATCGTGCAGGGCGGGGACACATGTCCCTAAAAGCTAAATCCCATGTACATGTAGTATCTCTATATTGCACCCGTTCCGGCGCTCGTGATCTGTATTCCCAAGTATTGCGCCCACTTCCGGCCGCTAATCTGTATTGCACCTATTTTGGCGCTCTGATCTCGAGTGCCACCCTTTGCAGCCCTGTGATCTTGACACAGCACCCCTCTCAGGCCTATGATCCTCAGCGCGCCCCCTCAAGGTCTGCTGATACTCACAGACCCTGCCGTGGGTGCTTGATCCTGAGCGCTGAGGCGCGCCCCCGCCGGTGCTGTGATCCTGAGAGGGATGTCTGTGATCCTGAGCCGCCCCTGCCCCGGCTGGAGGGCTCCCCTGGGTTGGTCTTTTTCTTTCTTTTTGCAGCTCCTGGTCCTCGTCCTGCTCGATCGCTCGTTTATTTATTTACCCTCTCCGCTCACTTGTCTTTTGAGACGATAGCGTTGTCCGTTTTGAGGCTTCGTGTTTGTTTGTCGTGTTTACGAAGCTAGTGTTTAAGGCCGTGTGACCCATCTCCCATGACGCATGAATGAGCCATGCCCATGGCGGGTGGCCCAATGACTCATCTCTCATGTTCGAAAAGTTCGATCCACACGTGCCTATTTGTTCCGCGCCGACCCGTCGACAAGCACGCGTGGACTGCCAGCGAGAAGAAGGAAAAAAGGAGGGCGGCGCATCCGGAGCCCGCGGGCGCGGCGTGGGCGGGCGCGGGCGCGGGCGGGCGCGCGGGAACCCCGCCAGCGGAGGCGACCATGCCTCTGGCGGCTCTGCAGGCGGCGCGCGGCGCGCCCCTCGCCGGTCTCCCGCACGCCCCTGAGGGCCGAGAGGGCCGAGAGGCGGGGTCGGTGACCCGGGGGCATGGGCGGTGCGGCCCGCGCCGCGCGCGGGCGCGTGGCAGCCCGTGAGTGCCGAGATCGGGTCTGTGCTTCGACGTAGCATGGGCCCCCGGAGGCCCATCTACAGCAGCGGCGAAGTGAGCGTGTTTGTGGTGTTGGTGTGACGTCTGAGCTTGGATCTGTGACTAAAGCCGCTTACCACTGTTGGATCCCCACCCGAATAACACACAGTGAGCGCCCCAGCACTTCACTACGCCCTCCGCGCGAAATCGCTTGTGGGTCTTGTGGTGCTTTGTGGGGGTGAACCTTCTTTTGTAGACCGCTAGGATTGAGAGCAGCCTCGCTCTCAATCCTAAGAAGTCGAAGGATTGTGAGCAGCACTCCTCGCAATCGTAGCATCTCTGTACGATTGCTAGCACCTACGCTCGCAATCCTACATCTTCTAGGACTAAAAGAGCAGCTCTCCGCTCCCAAGATGACTGGTGACCCTACGACTGCTAGCGCGCTCGCAATCCGAGCAAAGTCTAGGATTGCGAGCAGCTTTGCTCACAATCCGAGCATCATGCCTCCGATTGCGAGCAGAAGCGCTCGCAATCCTAGAACTTTCGCCGATTGCGAGCGACACCGCCCTCCGCCCACCAGTCCTACGACTTCTAGGATTGCGAGCGGGTCCCCTCGCAATCGGTGCGATCACTGTTTGGATTGTGCGGAGACCCTCCCGGCGCGCTCACTCACAAGCGCTCGCGGCTGGAGCGATTGGGAGTGCCCTCTGTGCGGATGCTAGCAATCCTTGGATCTTGGGTATGAGCTGCTCTTAGTTAGTCCTAGAAGATGTAGGGTTGCGAGCGTAGGTGCTAGCAATCGTATAGAAGAGTCTACAAAAGAAGGTTCACCCTTTGTGGGAAAAAGAAAGAAAGAAGACAGACAAGCCAAGGGAGGGATGGGAGGACGGCACGCCGCCACCACACAGGGATTTTAAGGAGAGGTGTGTGGTGCGCTAGCCGTCGCCCACCCTAGGGAGTCTGCCTCTTCCTATCTCTCTTCGCAGTCTCTCGCCGCTTCTCGCTGCAACCTCCATGCCACCTCGCGGTCGTCCTACTCTCGTCGTTCTCTCCCTTGTCATTTCCTCCTCTGTCGCGTCGTTCTCTTCTGCCTCGTCCTGTGACGCCGCCGCCTGCCGGTCCCTTGTTCTCGCGGCTTCTTTCGCCTTTCGGCGCAACTGCCAACTCCGTCCTCCTCGCGGCCTTTGTGGGAATAAAATAAATAAATACTACGGACATCCCAAGCTAGGGCTGGGTCGAGGACAGACACGTCCCCACCTTTGGCTTTGCAGGATTTTGCAAAAGCGAGGGGGGAGGGCGCATCGCCGCGCGGAGAGGGCTGGGCACAGGGCACAGGGGATCTCTCTCGCATAGGATATGCACTCGGCGGCACGAGGGCAAGGCTGGGCGTCCTATGTTTGTGCTCCCCCCCGGACCCCTCGCTCGCTCTCGGGCACTAACCATCTGACCACTCATCGACGGGGCTTGGCGAGCGGCCGCGCTGCGGGGCAGGGCTGGTGAGGATGGGCTCTGGCCCTTTGTGGGAGCACATCTTTCTGGAGAATTCTTTGCGCGCCAGTTCGCAAATTGCTAAAAATCTCTCTCTCCCAGTTCGCACCTGGTGTCGAGCCTGGTCTGCTGTGATGAGAGTGTGTTCGTGGGTAGATCGCGGGTAGATCGCTTGGCGGGTATGGCCCGCGAGCAGCCGCCGAGCCTCGTCGTGCTCACCGGCGGCTCCGGCGTTGGAAAGACGACGCTCATCGACCGGCTGTCAGCTCTCGGCTACCGGACGGTGCCCGAGGCATCGATGCGAGTCATCTCCGCGCTCAACTCACTCATTGGCACCGAGAGCCAGCTAGCGTGGCGAACGCGGCACAAGCAGGCCTTTGCCGACCTTCTCGGCACTGTCGCCGTGGAGCAGGAGACGCAGGAGGCATCCGCGTCGGAGGGAGGCACGGGCTTCCTCGACCGCTCGGTTCTCGACTGCCTGGGCTACGCGCGTGTGCGTGGCTACGAGCCGCCCGCCTTCCTCACGCCGGCGGTGCAGCGGCAGAGCGCCGCTCGTATCAAGGCTGTCTTTATCGTCGAGCCTCTCGACTCCATGCGCGCGGAGGCTCTCGCCGCCCGCAACGAGGCGAGCGGCCGAGCGACCGACCCGGCGGGGGCGCGGCAGGTGTGCGAGGTGATGGGCGAGGTCTACTCGCGGCTCGGCTGCTCGACGAGTCGGCTGGCCGACGGCAGCGTCGAAGATCGGCTGCGGCAGCTGCTCCGAGAGTGCGGCCTGCCTCCGCCTCCTCCGCCTCCGCCGGCGCGCAGGAGACGACGGTTGCTGCGAGCCTGGCTCCTGGCGGTGGCGGCACTGCGGCTCATCTCCGTCGCCATCGCGCTGCTCCACCCCGCGTCGCTTGCGCGCCGTGTCTTTGCCGCCGCGCCAGAGCAGCTCACGCCGCTCGGCGCCCGGGTCTTCGGCGCCTGGACGGCGACGTCGTGCGTCCTCTGCGGCCTCTGCGCGAGCGAGGGCGCGGACCCGGCGACGGCGACCTTTTCGGCGACGGCGTGGTCCTTCGTCGTCGCATTGGCACTCTTCGTGCCCGAGGCCGCCGCCCGCCAGGGCAGCATGACTGTCGGCTCCGCGGGCAGCCCTCTGGCGATCGCCGCGACCAGCCTTGTCTGGATGGCCGCCGTGCGGTGGCCGGGGAGGGACGCGTCCCTCTGGGCGGTTGCGATCGCGGGCTCCGCAAGCGTGGCGGTGGCCGCGGCGATGCTCCGAACCGAGGCCGCCATGGGCTTCCCCGACCGGCTGGACGCGTCGCTTGCTTGGGACGAAAGCAGCGCTGCGGAGAGGCTGGCGCGGCTGGGCCCTTCGGGGCGGAGAGAGTACCGCGCGATGTACGTGTCCCCGCTCGGCGACATGGCGCTCCCGCTCTGCTACGCGCCCGCCCTCGCCGCGCTCTGCTGGCGGAGCTTCTCCCGCCGGCCGCTCGCTCTTCTGCCGCTGCTCGCCGGCGCGTGCGACCTGCTTGAAAATGCGAGCGTGCTGCGTCTGCTCGACACCTTCCCGCGGCTGGAGCAGGCGCCGCTGGCTCTCGCCGTCGGGCCGTGGGCGACGTTCGGCAAGTGGGCCGGGCTCGCGCTGACTTTCGCGCTGCTGGCCGCGCACGCGAGGGCGCGCGGCGGCCCAGCGCAAAAGGGCAGATCACAGGCTTGGTCCAGCACCACAAAGAGTGAGTGACGGTGGGGTCTTCGAGGTGGGGCCGCGCTATCCTATATGCGTGCGTTTTGCGTTGCTGCCGCGCAGATAGACGTTGGGTCCTACTCGACCGTGTACGGGATCATTCGTGCGTGAGTCGGGTGTGTTGGTAATACACCGTCGCGCGTGCGTGTACGAGAGAGAGAGTGTGAGTCGTGTGCCTAGAAACGCGCGTACGCCCACCGGCTCTCCGGCTGTGATGCGGGTCCGCGAGAGCCGTCGACGAGCCGGCGCCGAGTCCACCGAGGGCTGCCCGAGAGGCGAGAGCGAGACCGACGCGCGACGCGGAGATGCGCCGCGTGCGAGACTGCGCTGATCACTGCGAGATTGTTGTGTGTAGCATGCAATATACCAAAAGCCGGAGACGGCTGCTTGACGACTGAAGCACGGGGCGTCACCACCTCCCCACCATATTGACCGGAGAGCGGAGTGTGCGGTGTGGCGCATATTGACCGACCCCAGGACGGCGAAGCAACCCAACAGAGAGAACCGTACGATCGTCGGGGTCGGGGGAGGCCGACGCCTCTCCCTTTGACAGTCAGAGCCCTCTCCCCAGACCCCCATCCCCAATCCACGCTGCGCGGGTGGCCGGTGCGCTACCTGGCCGTTTGCGAGACAATAAGAGAAGAGGCGGCGGCTCGAGCCGGCCAACGGGCTCGTGCTGGCCCTTGCAGAGAGAGGGCGGGGAGTGCAGCGGCGTGGCGAGTCAGAACTCGTAGTCGGGCTCGACGGACATGGCCCAGGTGAACTTTGCGAGCAGCGTCTTGGGGAAGGGCCGGTGGATCGGGACCTCGAACCTGCGGCGGGGAGCAGGAGGGGCGGCTTGAGCGGGCAGGGGAGGGGGGCGGGGAGGGGGCCGGGGTCTCTCACCGCTTGCACCAAGCGACGGTGACGCGCGGGTCGTTGTAGTTGATCTTCGACGTGCCGAGCGACACGTTCTTCGTCTCGTCCTTGTTGCGCCGGTCCGCCTCCATCTTGCTGATGCGCTTGGTCATCGCCTCCACCTGCGGCGCGCAGAGACGGGGGGCGGCTCCTCCTCACAGGCCGCGGCCGGGGCGTGCCGCCGGGGCGTGTGGGGCGTGGCGGGCGGGGCGGGGATGGCGAGGCACGCTCCTTGCCCGAGCCCGCCTTCTTGAGCTCCTTGAGCTCCGCCTTGAGCGTCTCGATCTTCTCGTCCATCTTGGCGATGGCGTTGGCGTGCGAGGCGGGCGTCGCGCGCTGATGGTTGCACAGCTCGGCCACGTTCTTGTTTGCGATGTTGTAGTACGCCATCAGCGCGACCACGTCCCCCTCGGCGGCGCGCTGCCTGGCGCTCACCATCTGCTCCGTCTTGCGCAGCTCGGCGTCCAGCGTGATCGACGCGTTGTACGTGCGGAAGACCTTTGCGGACAGCCCCTCCATGAAGTGCTTGAAGTAGTCGTTGAGCTCGGTGGGGTTGACCTGGTCGAAGACCTGGAGGGGACGTACAAGGTGGGGTGAGGGCAGGCGAGGCGAGGCGAGGCGAGGCGAGGCGAGGCGGGGCGGGGGCGGGGCGGGGCGGGGCGGGGCGGGGCGAGGCGAGGCGAGGCGAGGCGAGGCGAGGCGAGGCGAGGCGCGGCGTGTGCTCACACCTGGTCGCCGGGCTTCTTCTTCTTGACGAAGGACTTCAGCGCCTTGTACGCCTCGGGGATGATGTCGGTCGTCGCGTCGTACTCGATCGAGTCCTTGCCGAGGAACTTGAGGCGCAGCTTGTTGTCGCCCTCGTCGAGGAAGACGTGCTCCACGCGCAGCGAGGTGCAGCCGACCGTGTCCGCCTCCTCGTCCGTGTTCTTCTCGTTGCCCACGCGGAGAGCGAGCCGGTCGATCAGGTAGACCGCCACGGCCTGGCCGCGGAGGGACGCGTCGTGGACGTGTCGCGGACGGCGGGCGGGGCGGGGCGGGGCGCCCGGCGTCGTGCGCTGCTGCTCGCCTTTTGCTGCGCCTCCATGTCCGGGTTCTTCATGCCCTTCATGTAGTCGGCGCGGATGCGGCCGATGTGCTTCTTGAGCTCGCGCGCCTTTTCGTACTTTGCGAGGTCCGACATCCCCTTCCACGACGAGTTTGCGGCGAGCATCACGTACTTGACGTCGCCTGCGGGCGGTGCGGGCGGGGGAGGGAGTGACGACACGCCGCTCGCGAACTGCGCGCGCCGACGCAGCCGCGACGGCGGCACCGTTGATCGAGTCCATCCACTTTGCGAGCCACGTGACGGTGTTGTCGTGCACGACGTCGCCCCAGCGGTGCCGCTTCCCGTCGCCGAGGTCGGGCACCGCCGGCACCGGCGCGCCCTCGCCAACGTTGATGGTGATGTCCTCGGGCCAGATGCGAGCCTTGAGCTTGCCCATCTTCGGGTGCTCGCCGCGGCCGCGGAAGAGGCCGGGGGGCTCGACGCGGAAGTTGCCCACCTGACGGCGGGCGCCGCAGCGAGGGCGGGTGGGGGTGGGTGGGGGTGGGGTGGACGGCGTGGAGGAGGGGTGGAGGAGGGCGGCCCGCGCGCCTTCTCCTTGCGGCTGTCGATGAGCGCGAAGACGCAGTGGGCCTCCGCCGCGTCCTTCTCCTTCTTCGCCTCCGCCTTCTGCTCCTTGGTCATCTCCTTCTTCCGCGCCTGGTAGGGGCGAGGGGCGTGGTGGGCGTGGGGGGCGGGCGCCGCGGGTTTTGGGGGGGGGTCGCAACCAGCTCTCGGGCTTGGGGATGCGCCGGGCCTGGGGTGGCGCCGGGGACGGGCGGCCCGCCGACCCGGCCCTCCTCTCCTTCCCTCCCCCTCCCCCCCGCCCCCGCCCCCGCCCTTGCCCCCTCCGCCCTCCGCGCGCCTTCTCCTCCTCGAGGTGCGCCGCAATCGCCGAAAAGTCGCACTTGTCAAACTTCTTGACGGGCTTGCCCTCGTCCGTCTTCTTGAGGAGCGGCCGCCACGCCTCCATGAAGTTCTTCTGGAAGGTCTCCTTCTTCGCGTAGTCCGTCTCCCGCATCGCCGCGAACATCGTCGCCACCTCCTCCTGCTCGGCCGTCAGCGGCACCGCGGCGCCGTCGTAGTAAAACGGCTTGCCGTGCGGCGTGTACAGCGGCGGGAACATGACGCCGCCGTGCTCCAGCGTCTTCCACTTGACGCCCCCCCGCTTCCACTCCGACCCGTCCACCTCCTCGTACCACCGGTCCCCGTACGACGTGCCCGCGTCGTCGCCGCCGCCGCCGCCCTTTGCCGAAGGCTTCGCGGGCGCCTTCTTCTGCTTCTTGGCGGGCTTCTTGTCGTAGTCGGAGTCGGAGTCGGCGTCGTCGTCCGCCGACGATTCGGAGTACTTTGGCTTCTTCTTCTCCTTCGCCTTGGGCGACGCGGGCGCCTTTGCCGCCTTGGCCGCCTTGGGCGCGGCCGGCGCCTTGGCTGCGGCCGGCTTTGGCGGTGCGACGCCGTTGCCGTTGGCCTTGGGCTTGGGCGAGGGCGCCGCCGGCTGTGGCTTGGCGGTGATCACGTTCTCCACCGCCTTACGCTTCGACAGCGGCACGTCGTCATCCTCGTCCGACGAGTCATCCTCAGCAGCAGCGGCGGGTGGCAGCGGTGCAGCAGCAGGCTCCGGCGCTGCGGCAGGCTCCGGCTCGGCTTCCGGCGCCGCGGCCGGCGGCTGTGAGGTGCGCTCTGAGGGAGGCGCTTCGTCCTCGCTGCTGTCGTCGTCCCTTATCCTCACCATCGCACAAGTCGACGAGCCTCGACTGAGAGTCCCGCTTCTGGCTCAGCGGCAAGAGCTAGATGGCAGAAGAAAACGCGCTGCCGAGTCCGAGCCGAGCCGCTGGGCGACGGCTAGCACCACACTCCTCTCCTTAAAATCCCTGTGTGGTGGCGGCGTGCCGTCCTCCCATCCCTCCCTTGGCTTGTCTCTTTTCTTTCTTTCTTTCTTTAGCCGCTGGCAGCTACCTCTGCTGCACTGCTGGGCTCTGGCTCTGCCTCTCGCTCTCCTCATCCTCCTCCCTGCTCCCTTCGAGCTCCGTCCACCGCCTCGCCACTGTTGACAAACAATTGCTAAAAATCTCTCTCTCTGTTCACACTGAGTGACAGGACTGTTGCGTGTTGCGTGTTGCTGTTGGTGTTGCCGGGGGGCCGTCTCTGACGCATGAAGGGCTGCTGCTCTATTACATTTACATGTAATTACAGGGGCGTGATCTGTGAAATTCAAACCTCAACCCCCTGCCGCGCTCCGGTCGTGCAGATAAAGCAGCCCGGCATACACCGCCCCCACCCCTGACAGGACGCCCGCCGCCGCGGGCAGCCGCCTCGCGGCCGCCAGCGCCGCGGTCGCGCCAGCACCAAAGGAGGCGACCACACGCACCGACTCGGCGGCGGCGCGGCGCGAGCCGGGCGCGACCGCCTCGCCGCCAGAGACCGCGTCGCCGAGGCTGCGCGCAATCCTGCCGAGGTGGCCCGTCACCATGCAGGTCACCGCGCCCGTTGAGTCCGCGGAGGCGGCGTTGACGACGCCTGAGCCGACGCCGAGGAGGAGGATGCTCCAGCGCGAGCCGTTCGACAGGCGGAGCCCGAGGTCGGCGAGGGCGAAGAGGGCAAACACGGCGGGCGCGACTGAGGAGAGGGTGCGGCGGCGCCGTCGCGAGAGGTCCACCACCCGGAAGGCGCCGAAGCCGCCGACGTACGACGCGATGAGCGCCTACTTACACCCGCTGGAGGCGTGAAGAGAGGCTGCTCACCCCTCGGCTGCGGACCTTTCGATGAGCGCCGTGAAGAAGGCGCCGTCCACCCAGCGCAGCGCGGTGAGGCACTCGAGGCAGCGCAGCAGGTTGCCAGTCATCATGTTGGCGTAGCAGCCGTACGTCTGCCACACAAACACGTCCACCCACCCGCCCGTGAAGGCTAGGCCCGTGACGAGCGAGGCCGGGTTGGGCACGACAGCAGCGGGCGCCGAGGCGGCCGTCATGCCGGCCGTCATGCGAACGCGCGGCGCCGGCGGCCGCAGCGCCGCGCACAGGCCGGGCAGGCAGAGGGAGACGACGACGAGCCCTCGGGCCTTCATGTGTGAGTTCGTTGTTATGCGGGGGGCGCGCAGGGCAGCGCCTTTTTCTTTCTACTCGTGGTTTTTCTTTTCTCAACGGCGCTAGGAACGGAAGCCCGCGACACTCCATTCCGGTGACGGTTCTCTGCCGTCAGTGCTGAGGCCTCCGCTGAATGAGAAAGGAGACGCTCTGCAAAACGTCGCCGATTCGCTCGGCGCAGCTTTAGATGACCACGCTCCGCACATTGCTCGCGACGCCGCTCGTCCTCGTCGCCCTGCTCGCCGCCACGCCCTCCCGCGCCGTCCGCCTCTCCCCCGGCGCGCCTGCGTCGGCCGCTGCGCGGCCACGCTTCCTCTTCCTCTACCGCGACACACTGCCCGGCCACTGGCGGAGCGAGGTGCGCTCTGTCGCAGACATGCTCGGCTTTGGCGGCGATGAGCTCGCCTTCGAGCCCAGCCGGCGGGACTCGTTCGAGTACGTCGCGCTGCCCGACGCGGCCGCGGCCGCCGCCGTCGCCCGCCGCTGCGTCCTCGTCCGCGGCTGCTTTGACGTATGGGCCGAGTCGGAGCCCGCAGATCACGAGGGCAGCGGCCAGCGGGCGTGGGAGCGGCTTGCCGAGGCCGTCTGTGCGGCGGGCGCCGAAACGCACCGGCGGTGGGTCGCGCCGCTCGCCGAGGACAGCTGGTGCGTCGAGATGCTCTCGGCGGGGCGGCAGAAGCCGTACAGCGAGCCGGCCAAGGCGCGGCGGGATGGAGCCGCGCCACTAGACCCTCCCAGAGACTTCGCAACCTTCAGAGGACTCCTCTGCACGACCACGGCGCTCTCACCCCCGCCGCCGCCTGTACCGCGCCAAAGGTTGCCCTGATGGAGCTCCTCGACGAGCTGCTCGCGCCGCTGCCCGGGCCCATCTCTCTCCGCTCGCCGGAGCAGGTGGTCGCCATGCTCGAGGACTACGACGACCCGACGGGAAGAGGCGAGCGAGGCGAGCCGGCCGCCCTCGCTCCTCCGCGCCGCCTGTACCTCGGGCGGCGCCTCTCGGCGGGCGCCTCGCGGCTGCTGCACGACTTCCGCCTCTCCGCCCGCGGCTACCTCGGCAGGACCACGCTGCCGCCCGAGCTTGCCTTTCTGATGGCCAACGAGGCGCGCGCACGCCCCGGCTGCGCGCTCCTCGACCCGTTCTGCGGGACGTGCTCCACTCTCCTCTCGGCCGCGCGCTTCGGCGCGACGACCTTCGGCGTCGAGGTCGACGCGAGGGTGCTGCAGCGCGAGCCGATCCGAGCCAACTTTGCCGCCGCCGGCCTGCCGCCGCCCGCCAGACTCCTCCTCGCCGACGCCGCCGAGCTGCTGCCCCGCGGCGGCGCCGCCGCCGACGGCAAAGGCGACGATGGCGACGCTGACGGCGATCACGTGGCGGAGTTGCCGGCCGGGCTGGGCCTGCGCGACTTCGACGCGATCGTCACCGACCCGCCGTACGGCATCATGGAGGGGGTCTGGGAGGGGGGAGGAGTGCTGGTTGGAAGCTGTGAGCAGCGTCTCCACACACCTCTGGCTGCGGACAGGCGGGCGAGCTGTACCAGCCGCTGCCCGCGCGGTGCGCGATGCTGCTGCGGCTCGCCGCGGCGCGGTTGCGAGTCGGCGGCCGCCTCGTCTTTCTGCTGCCCGTCCCCGCCGAGTGCGCTGCGCCCGCGCTGCCGCCGTCCGACTGCCTCGTCCTCGAGTCCGCTTCGAGGCACGCCGTCTCGGCGAGGATGCACCGGTACTTGCTCACCCTCCGCAAGGCGCGCGAGGCCTCCGCCGCCGACGTCGGAGAGGCGCGCGTCCTCGAGGCGGCGGCAGGCGAGGGCGGCGGCGCGGGTGGCGGCACGGCGGCGGACGCGTTGCCGAAACCGTGGGAGGTGTCGACGCTGAGCACGTAGCGAGGAGGGTGGGGCGGTGAGTGTTGTATAACGTCACACACATTGTCTGGTGAAGAATCTCACACCAGTCACACACACCGACCACAACACCCCGCCGCCGCCCCCGCCGCGCAGCCACACTGTGCGCGCCGCGCCCCAGTCCCCCGGGCGCGCACGCGCCGAGAGAGCGAGCCACGCGGCACCGGCACAGAAAGTTTTGCCCGCACGTCACACGAGTCAAGTCAAGTCAAGACCTACACGGACTGTCCATGATGAGCGCGCGACGCAATTCGACTGTGGACCACACTATTCCTGTGCCCAATCGCAACCAACCGGCAGCTACCATGTGTCTATGTCCCTCGCATGTCCTCAGTCTTCACACTGGAGCCCGCCCCAGCGGCGGACGGCCGAGACGCCTCGCCGTGCACCCCACACGTCCGGTCTACGTTCGACTCTTCGCGTGCCCGCGTCGGCAGTGCAAGCCGTACAGGTTGTAGGGCAGGCCCTCCGCCACGGCGACGACCTGCAGCGCGTCTGGGTCCGCCGCCGCTCCGCCGGGCACGCGGCCGCATCCGACCAGGGCGAGCTGCTCCACGGACTGGAAGAGGCGGAAGCCGGAGCCGAGGAGGAGCTGCTGCAGCCGCGAGCCGGAGCAGCCCTGCGCGCGCAGCGCCGACTCGAACACCTCCACCTTGACCGTCTTGACGGCTCCGGCGCCGAGCAGCCGCCGCATCCCGTGCAGCGCGCGGCACTCGAACCCCTCGACGTCGATCTTCATCATCGCCACGGGCGGAGGGAGGCGCTCCCGGCGCAGCTGCCTCGGCCAGAGGATGTCGTCCGCCTGCCAGCAGTCAGTCCGGTCGCTCACGCTTGTCGAGCTCACTCGGGCGCCTCGGGAGGTGTTCTCTCGCCTGCCGCACCACCACCCGCTCCGCGCTGCCAAACGAAGAGCCGTCCCACCGGCTGAGAGACTCTGCGCTCTCGCTCGAGCCGAGGACGGAGTGGCCGGCGTTGCCTGCGGACGTGTCGCGGACGTGTCGACGGACGTGTGAAGGACGCGCAAGCCACAGAGCGGCCCGCGGTGCCGAGGGCGGGGTGGAGGAAGAAGCTCGAGTTTGCGTCGCCGAGCGCGAGGGGAAGCAATACGGCGCGACGCCGCACGGGGGGGTGGCGCAGCGCGAGCGCGCCGACGGACGCCGAGAGCAGCCCCAAGTTGGCCGCACCGGGCTCAAAGGCGACCACCGGCGCGTCGGTCGACAGGAGCAGCTGCATCGTGCAGGCGCCAAGGTTCGCCCCTACGTCGAGCGCCACAGCGCCCGGGCCCGCCGCGAGCGCGCCGATCGCGAGCAGGGGGACCAGGTCGTCGCACTCGAACCAGCGCCCTTCCCGCACCACGTGGTCGGACAGCAAGTCGCCCTCTGGCCGCAGGCAGAGCGAGCCGTTCGAAGCAGCTCGCGCCGCCAGCGGCAGCCCGAGCCCGGGGACGGGAGCCGGCGGCGCGGTGATCGCGTCGCCGCCGGCAAGCAGCGCGGCCCAGCGACAGGGCGCGGAGGCTCTGCTACCCAGACTCTCCGCCGGATCGATCCGCCAGGCCTCCCACGACGGCGGCTCCGAAAGCATCATCATAGAAAGAGGCTCGCCGCCCGACGCCCTCATCTTGCGCCGCCGTCGCACTGTCGAAACTCGGCGGTCGTCGTGAAGCAGGAGGGCGAGGACGAGCAGAACGGCAGCGGCGGCGACGAAAAGAAGTGCTGAGCGCGACGTGGTGCTCGCGCCCGGGGCTAGAAGCCGTCCGAAACAAGAATTAACGCAAGCCTAGAGGCAGAGGAGAGCGACGCGACAGAGGATGAAGCGACAGGAGAGAGAGCGACGTAAGTGGGACGACCGCGAGGTGGCATGAAGGTTTGTTTGTTTGAAGGTTGCAGCGAGAATCGGCGAGGGACTGCGAAGAGAGATAGGAAGAAGCAGACGCGAAGGATGGGCGACGGCTAGCGCATCACACTCCTCTCCTTAAAATCCCTTTTTGGTGGCGGCGTGCCGTCGTCCTCCGCCTGCTCCCATCCCTCCCTTCGTGCGCTTGCCCCTTGGCGCTTGGGTTGTCTGTTTTCTTTCTTTCTTTTACCACGCCCAGTGTTTTTGAGTTTTCCTTGGCTTACATTACCTCTCGTCGGCTGGCGTCTGTGAGGAGAGGTCTCCATCGTATGCCTATGCGCATCACAGATTCTCTCGCCGTCGCAGCGCGCTGCGGTTTCTTGTCTCTCTGTTTGACCCCCCGATCACGCCACCTCGCCCCTCCTCTCCGCTCACCCAGAGATGGTGTCCCACTTGGGGAAGGCCTGCATCCGCGCGCGCGCGTTTCTCTCCAGCTTCTCCTGCTTCTCGGCCTCGATCGCGTCGATCGTCACCTCGATCGGCCTGCTCGCCTCCTCGTCCTTGTAGTAGCCGAGCCCGTACACGTCAAACTTGAAGACGTAGCCCTCCTTCTCGCTCTCGAACTCCGCCGCCTCGATGTAGTCCGGCGCCGCCGCCTCGAGCTGCGGCGCCGCCGCCGCGCCCTCAGCCAGCACAAACGCCTCCGTCTCGGGGCTCTCCCAGAGCTCGGCCGCCAGCCACATCTCCGAGGGAACCTCGCCATAGTACGAGGCTGCGAGCGGAGTCACTGCCGGGATGTAGCCCGCCTCGAACCAGTTGCGCATGGTCGTGGTTGCGTGCGGCCCCTGGTCGACTCCGTAAGGGTCGCGGTACCACCAGAACTGCGCGTGGCCGAGGTCGCCGGCTGCGGGCGGTGGCCCGTCCCACGCCTTGCGTTTCCTCGACGAGGGACCCTCCGCCGCGCCGCCCGGGGCAGCGGCTGCTTCCGCCATGCCCGTGGAGCTACCAGGTTGCACTTAGCTTACCTGGGCCCTAGGTAGCACGCACGAAAGAATTCGTCCCGGCACATTTTTTCTCAAATTGGCAGCCGTCCCTCCCTTGGGCTGTATGTTTTCTTTCTTTCTTTGGCACCCGTGCCTCTCTGGATAGGGTGGCCGTCACACAACGACCCCTGGAATTGCGAGTCGCCCTTTCCCCCGCTGTGTGTGATTTTGTGTGAGCTCTGTGTGTCTTGAACTTGATTTGAAAGTAGAAAGAGAGATTTTTAGCACTGCGCTTTTTTCTTTCTACGGTTTCTGTTACAATGACACACCGCAGTCCGCTGCGATCACCGGCCCGACTCGGACTGAGCGTGCGGTGCCACCTCAGGTCGTACATCTAGCACCGCGAGCGGTTGCCACGTAAACTCCAGCCCTTCCACCTGCGCCCCCAGCCCAAGCTGTCCAGCATGACACCAACCCATGGAGGCCAGCCGACCTGAGACAGTGTCCACGATCATAGTCGTGAAGCATCCGCACGACAAAGCTACTATCTCGACATGCTCGACAGCGCTGTCGTCGCCCCGGTTGTCCTCGACTATCACGCCTCCTTGGATGACCATGTCAGTGCCGAAGCCATCAAGGACCACTTCCGTCGGCTCGAGGCGGTTCTCTTCACTCCCATGACCGAGGCAGCCGAAAGAGCCAGATCCCCACGTCCATAGCACCGAGCCGCCATCCGTCGTCGCCGCTGTATGCAGTGTGCCACAGCTCACGAGACCGACGGGCCTGCCCTGCAGCCTGGACACGACTCGCGGCGTCATCACATCCTCCTCGTCCCCGTGCCCGAGCTTGCCCTCCGCGCCCTCACCCCATGTGAAGAGCCTGCCGTCGGACGCAACAGCTGCGACGTGTCCACTGCTGCAGCTCGCGTCCCGGACCAGAACACCCGAGAAAGGAACCGGCGCGGGTGTCGGACTCAGATAGTGGAAGACGGGCGGCGGCAGATTCCAGCCGGCACAAAAGAGGAAAAGCTTCCCCGCAGACGTCACTGCGATGGCCAGGCCGTCCTTGTGGTCAATGGACACCACTCGGCGGGCTGCCAGGGCGTCCACGCGAACGGGCTCGGCCCCGACCCAGTCCTGACTCGGCCCCGCCCCGTCCTCGTCCTCGGCGTGACCCAATGCGGTCTCACCCAGCTGTAGAGATCGCCGTTGGCCGTGACACAGAGCGTATCGTGGACGCCAGCCGCAACTAGCGCCACTCGCGTTTCGGGCGGGAAGCTTGACACCTCGCACGGCGGGCCCACGACGCCCTGATGGACCCCCAACCCAAGCGTTCGCCGTAGCTACCCCACGTCAGGAGACGGCCGTCATTCGTGAGCGCGGCGCTGTGAGCCCAGCCGGCAGAAGCGGCCACCACCGTCCGGCCCGCCAGCCGTTCGATCGGACGCGGTGCGACAACATCAGCGCGACGTGGGTCGGCACAACCGAACTCAAGCTCTTGGTCGTCCTCGTCCAGCTCGGGCTCCAAGTCGCTCCCCGGGTCGTCGGTTAGTCCCAACTGGAAGTCTGCATTTGAACCAAAAGCGGAAAGCCCTCCGCCTGCTGTCACGACTAAGCCGTGAAACCTCGTGGCGGACACGACGGGCAGCGGGGCGAGGAGCCGCTCACAGACGAACAGACGAAAGATTGCACTCTCGCCGTCGCGAGCTGCAACTCGCCAGCCATCGTGCCGCCTTGAGGATGCGAGCTCCGCCGCAGTGTCAGCGACGCTGTATCGGTGGCTCACGCACTTCAGCCGCGCGAGGCCTCGGGCAGGAAGGTGCTCGCAAATACAGAGCAGTAGGTCGAGGTCGAGGATGTCCAGGGTTGGAGGCGCGACAAGCATCGGCGAACGGCTCGACATAGGCTGGGTAGGGTCGCAAGTGTGTACTATGCCGATCCCTTGCTCTCGGCTCTCGCCTCCCTCTGGGGGGAGCTTCAGCAACCGCACCTCTTTCTTTTTTCGAGCGTAAGCGTAAGCGCGCGCGGCGCGCGCGCGCCTGACAAGCGATCCCACGACAGCGTGGCTGCGTGGGGGGGCCTGTCCAACCAACCAACTGCCGGTAGGCGACAGGGAGCCCCCACGGTGGTCCCCGTTTGCTTATTCTTGACCTGATTGGCACGCTTCTTGCGCGCCTGCTATGCTTGCGACAAAAAATCTCTCTCTCTGCTTGCGCGGGGACTGTGCGGATAAAAACAGTGGCCAGGGGCGGGGCTTGCATTTTTCTTTTTTGCCGTCGCCAGTCGCCCCCCCCCCAAACGCTACAGCGGGGGCGGCGGCGGCGGCGGGGGCGGCGGCGGCGGCGCGACCGGGGGTGGGTAGGGGGGCCGGTGGGGAGCCGCTGCCGTGTGCGCTGCGCGTGCGCGCACCGCACACCATACGGCGGGAAACAGACGGCGAAGGGGGGCGCGGCGGCAGCGGCGCAGCGCGCGCGCGGCGCGCGCGACGGAGGGGCGGAGCAGCGACCGCTGGCGCGGTGTCGCTGCTCCGTCTGTCAGCCAGAGACGCGCGCTCTGCCGCTCCACGCCCGGCTGCTCCCTTGCCCCGTCACCCGCCGCGCCCTCGCCCGGCCGCCTCACCGCGCACGGAGCGCTCGGCTGCTCGCCGCTGCCGCCGCGCGTCCCGCGCCGCCACGCTTGCCCCCACCTTGCCTGACGCGCGAGGAGAGGTAGGAGGTGCTTGCCGCGGCCGGCGAGCACTCCCGCGCCTGCGGAGGGGCAAGGCCTGAGGGCGGGCGGGCGGGCGGGCGGGCGCGGGCGGGGGGGGGGGGGGGGGATAAACGCTGGCCGCCCCCGCACCAGCGACACCGGCCGCGGCTCGCCTCCACGCGCCGGCTCGGAAGAGGGGCTGTCGGCGGCGCAGCAGAGCGGCTCGCCTCGGCGCTCGAGCCGCCAACAGCCCCACTCCTCGACGTGACGGCCGCTCCCGGAGCCAGCCGGTGCGCGCCCGACCCACGCCCCCTCTCGCACCCCTCCGACCCCCCCTGCGCGGCGCACCTATCCGCTGTGCGCCGGCTCGAACGCCTATCGCCAAATCGCGACGTTTGAGCGCAGCGCACGCGTCCCACACGTCACGCGCGCGCAGGAGAGCTTGCGGCACAGCAGTAGCGTGTACTCGCCGAGGGCATCGCGCCGAAAACCCCGCGCATTCCGCCCCAGCAGAGGCTGCAGCCTCTGCACAAGCTACACCACTGTAAGAATGGTGAGTACTTGGGGTTGAGTGGGCTTGCTTGCTCCCCTAGCCGGGAGCAAAAATGCAAGAAAAAACGTGGCTCGGGTTACACCAATCCTACAATCCCAATCCTCGCTACCCAACGCGGCCAAAGGATATCCACCTCGAGAACAGACAGGATAAAAACTCACCGCTCTTTATAGAAGGGCGCTTGGGTCTAAATTTAGTGCGTGTGAATGAACTTTAGTGATAGTTTAGTGCGCTATTTAGTGTGTGTTCGAGTGCGTGTGTAGTGCGTGTGTAGTGCGCGAATTTAGCACATATTTAGCACATATTTAGCACATATTTAGCACATATTTAGCACATATTTAGCACATATTTAGCACCTATTTAGCACATATTTAGCACATATTTAGTGTGTTTTATCTCCAATTTAGCGCCACATTTAGTTCACTTTAGGTGCGGGCAGCTGCAGTACATTTAGTGTGGGTCCCGCATCTTTAGTGCGGGCACGCATCTTTAGCACGGCTTCCCGGCCACACCACATCTAGCCAGGGCCGCGTGCTTTGCTCCTTGGCTGCCAAGAATGCACCACAAGAGGGAGGGTGTAGACGCGCACCTCCGTGAGAGGCTCGGGCGGAGGCTCCTTGGCGGGCGGCTCGGAGAGGATGTCCACGACGGGTCGACAACCGCGTCCTGCTCCTGCGTGTCGAGCTTGCGCTTGAGGACAGAGCCGCCCTTCCTCACCTCGATGATGACCGTGTCAAACATCACCGCGGCACAGTCGCTCGCGTTGAGGCACAGCTTGAGGTCGCTCCACCTTGGTCGACGCCGGCAGGTTGAGCGTGCCCCTCGCCTCTCCCTGCTGCCACGGCAGCGCCACCATCGTCTGCTCGGCCGTCTCTGCCATCGCAGTAAAGTCGTTATGTTCACGCGGGTCACGCCCCGCTCCGGCAAACGTTTTGCCGCTCGGCGGGCCCGGAGAAGCAAGCAGCCCGGAAAGCACCTTGGAGGCTGATTTCAGCTGAAGAACCTTCGCTCGGTTGGGGGATGGGACGGGGAACTTTTGCGAGTGGGCAGGGAACTGCAGGGGGAGAGGGGGAGGGAGGCCCAGCGAGGGGCTGCGGCTGGATCCTACTGCGCGGCTGGACTAAAGACGCACTAAACCTCGCTAAATTTGGATGTAAAGTCGCAGTGAACTCGCGCTAAATTTGCGCTAAAGTTGTGCTAAATTTTCGCTAAAGTTGTGCTAAATTCGCGCTAAAGTTGTGCTAAATTCGCGCTAAATTCGCGCTAAAGTGCACTAAAGAGGCAGTAGATAAACACTTCACACCGCACTAAATTTAGACCCAAGCGCCCTTCTTTATACTCGTTTATTCACGAGGCGACCCCAGGGAAGACGCTTGTGAACGCCTTTTTGTCCTCGCTTCGCGCCGCTTGCGGGGGTCAGGTGTTCGGCAGTCTCGGCAGCCTCGCCCCTGCTCCTCGTTGTGTGCTGCTGCCCCACCAACTCCTCCCCGACGAGCGCGGTGCCGGATGCCGAAAGGCGGGTGGCGGTGCGTGGTGGTCGTGCTGCTCATGTGCTCGGTCGTACTGCAGCTGTGGTCGCAGGCCTCAGCGCTCTCTCTCAGGCTGCTTCCGACTGCGCTGCGGAGGCGGCAGCACGTGAGCTCTCTGTCTCCGACGGCGACTGCGACCGCGGCGGGCGCGGGCAGTGCCTCTCGGGACCCGGGGTGGGTGGCGGCGCTGCAGATGCTGCGAGACTCGCGCGAGAGGTACGTCATCGTTGATGCCAAGAACGGGCTGGGCAATCGGCTGCGTGCGCTCGCGTCAGCCATGGCGGTGGCGGCGACGCTCGACCGGCCGCTGCTCCTCGTGTGGGTGTCTGACCTGCACTGCAACTGCAGCTTCCGGCGGCTGTTTGCGCAGCCGCTGCCCTTCACGCTCCTCGAGGAGGAGATCCCGCTCGCCAACCTGACCGACCCGCGCCACTTCCAGCGGTACAACTACATGCGCCCCGAGCCGGGCGCCGTCAAGGACGCGCCCATCATCCCCGACCCGCGGAGGCACCTCTACTTCAAGTCTGCCTTTGTGACGCGCCCCGCTGCCGGCGAGACCGACCGGCTGCGGGCGGCGCGTCTTCACACGCGTCGGTGTGGGCAGGTGATGAACCACGCGCACGGCAAGTGGACGCACGCGCAGCAGCAGATCCAGCGCCTCGTCCCCGCCGCTCGCGTCGCTCGCCAGCTGATTGCAGACAAGACCATGGCGCCGACGCCACACCCGACGCCCGCCCACGCCGCACCACACTCCACCACACTCCACCACACTCCACCACACCACCACACTCCACCACACTCCACCACACACCCACACGGCCAGCCACACACCCACTCCGCCACACGCCCACTCCGCCACACCGGGTCGGCCCCTCCCGCACCACAAGCACGCCGCGGCACCGCGGCGCCGCCGGCCACACTCCCCTGCGGCCTCTCCCCTGCGGCTGCCACCTCTCGCGCCGCCCCTTCCTGGCGCAGGCCAGGCTCCCCGTCTGCACGCGCGCGTCTGCGGATAGGTCGGGCTCCACATCCGAAACGTCTTCGACGCGCCCCGCGATTCGAGGACTTTCTCCTCCACCACGGGCAACGAGGCGATCGCCGCTGCAGAGAAGGAGTACGGGCGCAAGGGGACGTCCAAGCTGCTCGCGTGGAGAAAGGCGGGCCCACACCGCCACCGCACCTCCGCCCACACCGCCCCTCCGCCCACACCGCCCCTCCGCCCACACCGCCCCTCCGCCCACACCGCCCCTCCGCCCACACCGCCCCTCCGCCCACACCGCCCCTCCGCCCACACCGCCCCTCCGCCCACACCGCCCCTCCGCCCACACCGCCCCTCCGCCCCGCGGCGCAGGCGGCGCACTGGTCCAACTTCGTGCCGCGCATCACCTCGCTCATGCGGCAGCACTCCCTCACCCGCACCTCGGGCGGCCTCTCGCAGCAGCCTCTCCGCTTCTACCTCGCCGCAGACTCGGAGGAGGCCTATGCGAGCTTACTCAAGTGCACAGCCTCCCACACACACCCGCCCGCCCGCAGCCGCCGCCTCGGCGCGCGGCCGGCACCGCGGTCAACACCGCGGAGCTCTCCCCAGCCGCACTCTCTTTCGTCGCGCCGCTGTGTGAGGAGCGTTGTTTCACAGCATGGGCCACGCGCAGGCGTTTCCCCAACCGCATCCTCGTCACGCGCCGCGAGTGTGCGAGCGAGCGGTGCGCCCCTCGCCACTGCGAGAGCAGCAGCAGATCGCTGCCCATGCTCAAGAGGTCGAGAGGAGCCTATGCGCATAGGTGCGACTTTCGCGACTGCGAGGGGACGCTGTACGCCCTCGTCGACATGCTCAACCTCGCGCGCACCCGCCTCATCCTCGGCTCGGGCTGGTCGTCCTACTCGGAGGTCCCCGAGAGACAGCCGAGAGGAGGCCGAGATGAGACCGAGATGAGACCGAGATGTGACCTCGTCGCCGCCTCATCACCCGGCTCGGACTGGTCCTGCTGCTCGGAGGACGCGGGCGCTACTCTCACCCCCTCCCTCCCCTCCCCCACCACGCGTCCGGAGGTTGCCGCCTACCTCGGCGGCTCGTCTGGCAACCCCGTCCCGATCCTCATGGCGGGACGCGACTTTGGCGCGCTGGCCACGCACCGCCCGCCCGCCGCCGCATTCCCGCCATCGAGCGCTGCATCGCAAACACTCCCCCCCACCTGCCGCCACAGGCGCGCTCGTCGGCGCCGAGCACGGCCGCTACAGCCCAAAGACGCCATGCTGCAACCCGCTGGAGGGCGGCACCGACGGCGCGCGACACACGCCGACGTCGTTCCCAATCCCGACCCTGTCGCTGCCGGTCCATTCCCCTCCCCCAGCCCGTGTCCACTCCCGCAGGCGAGGCGTTTCTGGGGATGGAAGCCGGGGCGGAGGACGGCGACCCGGACAATTTGATTCAGCATTTCTGGCCGAGACCGTTTTGATACACGTGTGTGTCGCGCTCAAGCGCGCAACGAGGCTCGAGGGCCCTCTGTTTCGGCGATTTTTTTGAAACGTGCTTTTCTTTTTCAGATTTCGCACTGCAGAAGAGATACACATATAGAGGTCAGTCCTGTGTGCAGTGGTACACGGTACATGATCATGAACATGATGACACACTCACAGTCACACTTTGCGAGTTCGGAGCCTAAACACCCGCGCACACATCACAACGATCGCATCGGGGGTGTCGCTAGACGAACAGAGCGAAAACCCCCGCGTCGATGACCCATGTCACCGGCCGCGCGCGCGCAAGCCGCAACCCCCGCGCTCCCTTCAGTCGCGCTGGTCCGACGGCTGGCCCGAGAGCAGCCGCGTGGCGAGGGAGGACGTGTCCTCCGACGGCGCCAGCTCCGCCTCCGCGCCTGGCGAGTCGGGCGCACCCACGGCCTGCAGCGGCAGCGTCATGCTGGAGGAGGAAGAGGAGGCGGCCTCATCACACACACGGCAAGCGGCGCTCGGTGGCGCTAGCAGTGGCTCCAGCTGCGCATCGTCAGCCCGCGCCCCTCCCGTGCCGCCACGCGCCACGCCGCCCTCCGCCGCCTCGCCCGCCCCCTCGGCCACCCCCTCGGCCGCCCCCTCGGCCGCCCCCTCTGCGCCCGCCGCGGCAGAGCGAGCCACGGCCGCCCCACCCCTCCGCCCCCCTCCCCGCCCTTCTCGCTGCCCCGCCTCGGAGTCCGGCCCGCCCCCGCCCTCCTCCCCGCCCTCCTCCCCGCCCTCCCCGGCGGCCCGCCCCTGCCCCTCCATGCCGCCCGCCTCCGCCTCCGCCTCCGCCTCCGCCTCCTCCGCCTCCGCCGCCTCCTCGCCGGACGCGCCTACGGACGGGGCACGTCCGGCACGTCGTCACGGACGCGCCTCTGTTGCCCGACAGCCTGTGTGGCTCGTGGGGCTCGCCGGCGGCGCGGCGGCGCGCGACCAGCTTGCGGTTGCAGAGCGGGCACTTTGCGGCGAGGCCCTTTCGCCGGATCCACTCGTCGATGCAAGCGCGGTGGTAGAGGTGGACGCAAGGGAGGATGCGGAGCTCCTCTCCCGGCTCAAAGTCGCCCAGGCAGATAGCGCACGACGTCGCCTCGGCCGGCTCTCGGCCCTCGAGCAGCGGGAGAGGCGTGTGCTTGCCACGAAAGAGCACGGTCGGCAGGGAGGCGATTGCGCGCTCCACCTCCCGGTCGTTCTCGCCCGCCTGACGGAGCAGCCGCCAGAAGCCGAGCAGCAGGAGCCCGACCCAGCCCGCCGACGCGAAGCCGATCCCAATCGTCACCCATCCGAGGATCGACATGAGCAGGCAGGCGTCGACCGTCCAGAGCAGCTGGGCGAGCAGCTTGCCGAGCTCCGTGTCGTCCCCGCCCGACCCCGCGCCGCAGCCCGAGTTCGGGTGCGAGACGCCAAAATCCGCCACGAGGCACGCCAGGAGCGCAGCGTATGCGGCGAGTGCTGCGAGCGCGGCGCGCTCGCTGCGGAAGCGGACGGCGGCAAAGCTGAGGGACGCGTTTGCGCAGAGGAGGAGGATCGTCAGGCCTCGCATCGCGGGGCTCGCGGGCCAGTCGTCGAGCGAGGTGGCCCAGTACCCGACCGCCAGCACCTCGAGGCCGGTGACCATCAGCACGCCCTCTCGGGTGCTGCTCATGTCTCGATGGGGCTTGCTGAACACTCGGCCGCGGCGCCGGTGCTACGACATTCTTGTTTTCTTTTTCACGGAAAGAGCGAATCGATACGCGGCTTACGGGCGGGGCTGCGCCTCATCGCATGTGCCACGAGTCGCTCTCGAAAAGAAACAGAAAGAAGCAGACAACTCAAGGGAGGGAGGGGAGCGGGAGGACGGCACGCCGCCACACAGGGATTTTAAGGAGAGGAGTGTGGTGCTAGCCGTCGCCCACCCTTGGGCGTCTGCCTCTTCCTATCTCTCGTCGCAGTCTCTCGCCGATTCGAGTCGCTCTCGGACGGGAGGACCCCTCTCCTACAAAAGAGATTTTTACGCAAAAGAGAATTCGAGAGCTCACAACACTAGGCACGGGACTGGCGCGCACTGGCACTAACAAAAGAGAAAGCTGACCAAAGCACAGGGCCGCGCGCTGTGGCACTAACACAGGTACACCAAAAAGAATTTTGCTTTTTGGCCGGGGGGGAGTGGCGCTGTGTTCGTGCGTCGTGCCCATATCTCCTGGAGATGCCTGCTCTCTTATCTACTGGCGCGCACTGGCACTATCCACTAACACAGAGGTACTCCCCACGGGAGCCGCCTAAGCGACTCCTGCGAGGACGGCGTCCGACGGTGAGGCGCTTAGATAAAAGAACGTTTACTTTCGGGCTCGCACACAGCAACCCACTGCTCACGAAAAAAAGATTTTTGCAACGAAACTCAAACACTCTGTGCCTGTTTACCCATCTCCGTTTTATTTATTTATTTATTTATTTATTTTAAACACATGTGTGGAAAGAATTTCAAAATAACGCTGCTCTCACCGTGGTGTACGAGCTAGGTCCGACCTCAAAGAGCGCATGTGATGCAGCTGTGCCTCACCAATCTCGCACCTCGAGCCCCGCGGCTCTGTGTAGGACCACCCCCTCCGCCCGCTGCCAAACGCCTCCCGCTCCCGCCGCTGCAGCCTCACGGTTGTCTCCTCTTTCCGGTTCGGCAGCACTGCCACCTGCCGGCCGAGGGAAGTGCGTCGCATCTTCTCGAGCTGCCGCCGGAAACGCTGCTCCCCGCGCGCAAAAAACTCCTCCACCTACAGATGCGACATGGCCGAGGTCCGACGCCGCGACCTGGCCGCTCCAAAGTCGCAACGAGCTCTCCCGCGCCTCGTGCACGTCCGCCGCGAGCGTGCGGCACGCGACATGCAGCGCGCCCTCGCGCTCGCACGCGGCGCCGAGCTCCGCCTTTAGCATCCCAATCCTTGCCGCCGCTTCTGTCTCTGCCGTCGCCAGCCTCGCCGCCCACTCCTTCTCCGCGTCCCTCCAACCGGCCGACGACGCCACCGCCTCTTGCAGCGCCGCGGCTTGCGCCTCCCGCATGGCCTCGCTCCTCTGGAGCTTTAGGCTCAGCGCGCGGATCTCTCTCTTTTGGGCCGCTATTGTCGCCCTCTGCGCCGCGCACTCGCCCTCGCTCTCGGACAGAGCTTCGCGCTGCACCTCCGCAGCCTGCGCCAGCTGCCCCTTTGCCACTCTTAACTCTGAGTTGACGGCGTCGCGCACGCGCTCGTGGTGGGACCGTTCGCGAGTCGCCTCGCGTTCGCTGCGCCCAAACTCGTGGGCGAGGCAGCGCACGTTCACATCACTCTCCGCCAGCTTCCGTTTCATCAGCTGCTGCATCCGCATCGACTCCCTCGCGTGCCTGGCGCGGATCTCTCTCAGGTCGAGTGCGAGCCGTTCGCACTCTGCCCGTAGCCGGTTGACGGCACGAGGGGTGTCTGGAGTCGGCGGTGTTCGGGCGCGACCGGCAACGTCCCACGCCGAGCTGTCGGCCGTCAGCGGGCGTGGTGTCGTGGGGCGGCTGCACTGCTTGTGCCTGGTCTCATACAGGGACACGAGCGGCACCGGCGATTCCCGCGGCGTCGGCGACTGAGGCAACAGCGAGGCGCAGCTGGAGCCCTCCCGCTCGAGCGGCTGGTGAAGCGTATGCAGCGAGTGCAGCAGTCGCAACGGCACATCGGCGTACCCGTGAGTTCGAGCGCGGGGCGAGGCGGACCGCGCACCCATTTCCCGGCAAAATCGTTACGGGGTTTTTGCTTCCAGGGTTGGGATGTGTGATAGCTAATCACTCAAGAGGAAGAATTTTCCAATTTTCGAATCGCGCAGCCGGACTCGGCAACGAGGTCCATCAGTAGGACTCATCCAATGCCCTTGCGCGAGCGCACATTGTGCGTAGCTCCGCAAGCAGGTGTAGTGCACTGTCGTCCACCGACTGTGGTGGGTGGGTGGGCCTGTGAGTGAGCCCCCACAGCACAGAGTGGTGTTGGCCATTCTCGCTCGAGTAAGAACTGGTGTGGCAGCAGCAGCCTGCTGCTGCGTGCTGCCTCATTCAACTGAGCCAGTGGCGCAGCGAGAGGCACGCACAGAATTCGCGTGCTAAGGTACATTGAAGGCTGAGGCCTGAGCGCATTCATGAGAGCGCGTTCGATCGAGCCGACGAGCCCGCCCGCGCGGCCGCACGCTTGGAAGTCCGGCGCGGCGTCTTAGTTCTTGCAACACTATCAATCACGCGTTACTTACACTCCTTGCTAAGCAGGCTAAGCTTCCCCGCGCTTTCTTCCCCTACCAAATACACTACAGTCGTGACAAGGGCGACGCCCCCTACAGGGAGCCCGCGCAGCGCGGGTAGATTTCCCTTTGAACGGACAAAGCAAAATCGGTGCGCACCGAGGTGAGCTCAACTTGAGGCCTTCATGCGCTTCCCTTCTGGCTCGGCGAGATCAGACTGCATGGACATGCGGTCGTTCCCCGCCTGCTCGATGAGGGCGTCCGCCTTCTTGAGATCGGCAATGCGTTTGGAGAGCGAGCTGCGCTCGCGGGCTAGCGACTCGTCTGGCGCCATCAGCGTCGCGAGGTCGCCCTCACCGGCAATGGCGCGCATGAGCGCAGGCTTGAGCTGCTCGATGAGCTGAGCCGACAGGTTGTAGCGTGTTACCAGCTGCAGGTAGTCGACAAGCCGCTTCTTCATCACTTTCCAGTAGGCAAACGTCTTGATTTGCAGGTCGACGATCTCCTGCTCGGCGTTGGACTTCGTCTTGAGGCTCGAAAAGTCGAGGCCGTCCAGAAAGGCGGGCTTCTTGCTCCACACGGTCTTAGCCTCATTGTCCGCCAGGATGTCCTTCCGCAGCTGCTGCACAATGTCCATGTAGTAGTGGTTGCTCGTGTGCGCCTCGGCGTCCTCGTACTGCATCAAGCGCTCTGACTCGCGCCTGGCCGAGATCGTCAGCTGTTCGACCAATCCCGCAGCCGTCGTTTGCATCAGCCGGACGAGCCTCGGGTGCGCTTTGAACTCGACTGCCGCGTCAATGATGGACTGCAGCTTAGTGCTCGCCACCGTCGATGCGACGGTCACGTGCTGCTCGACGATCGACGGAAGCTTTTTGCGCAGGTCGTGCAGCACGCCCAACGGCACCTCTTGGTTGATCGAGCCTGGCATGCCGCACGAGCCGCGGCGTGAATTAGCCGCCATCTCCAGCTTGCGCCCGAACTCCTTTGAAAAGAACATGCGGGCGGGGTGGGCCTTGTCGATGTTGTCGCGAAGTTGCTCATCGAGCTTGTTGAGCGCGGCGCAGAACAGCGTTCGCTTATCGTCCACGTCTACGGAGGACACGTACACCGAGGCATAGAAGGAAAGAGCGCCTTTGTATTGGGCGCTTGTAATGAAGTTTTCGAATCCCCAGCCCTGGCCGGGTTGGCTGAAATCGTGGATGCATTCCAGCCTCTTCTTCACCGTGCCACCCTGGTAGACCGCAAGCGAGAACTCAAGACCAACCTTCGTCTTCTCGGGCATGTCGCACATGAGGACCGCGCCGCAGAAGCCGCTGGTGGACGTCTCGCAGCCATTGGGGTAGATATGCAGGGTGCAGGAGATCCCGCCTGGCAGCTCAATCGGCTCGCTTGCGACGAAGGACCCCTTCGCCTTCTTGCTGCAGCACGCCACCCAGTCGTCCACCTCGAGTTTGATATCAAAGACCTCGCCCTCGGCAGTTTGCAGCCCAGCGGCGCGTGACACCCTGCCCTCGCGCTCCTTCTCGAGCTGCTCTCGGGTCTCGTCGACCAGCTTGGCGGCGAGCAGCCTGCACGCAAGCTCGCCCTCCAGCGGCGGGCCGATCTGAGCGACGCGCTGCTCTAGCTGCGACAGCCGAGCCCGGATTGCCTTTGCGGTTGCCGGAAGTGTCTCAATGATGCGCTCGAGCTGAATGCGCACGAGTTGCTCTGAGAGTGCACTCACGCCCAGGCCGTAGCCGGTGGCTTCGGCGCCTCGCTCAAGCTCCAGATTGGAGCGGATGCATTCAGTCTCGAGCTCTCGTGCGCGCGACAGAGGCAGGTGTGCGTCGTTCTCCTCCTGCTTGCGGTTGCGCACGACGAAGACATGCTCCGGCCGGATGCACATCGACTCAATGGAGACGTCGATCTTCTTGGCCAGGCCGGGTTCCTTGTGCTGATCAACTGCGAAGGGGCAGAGCGGCGACAGTGGGCGGTTAAGGCCGCAAGCGCTCCCGGGGAGGGTGGAGGGGCACAGGGGGGAGGATGACTGAGAGAGAGGCCATGCTCACTCTTGGTGACACAGAGCAGCGTGCGCCGGCCCTCAGGGTCGAGCTCTTGCGAGAGCTGCAGGCTAGCGCTGGTCGAGAAGTCCACCATGGCGGAGACGACGTTGAGGATTACCGACTCGGGTGGCGCGCTGTAGCGCTTGCACATTCCAAGGATGAGCGCCTCGAGCTGCTTGCCGTCACCTTGACCCTCGCGCCCCACCCGCGTGATGCCCGGAAGATCAATGAGCGTGAGATCGTCCTGGTCGCGGCGAAAGACCTTGAGCTCGATCGGCTCATCCTTGACGCCCTTGGAGCCGCCAGCAATTGCCTCTGTGAACTCGTCCACCTTGGCGGCCACCTCTGAGAGTGCGATCCGTTCCGGCTCCGCCCCCTTGCGTGAAATGAAAGCGTGCTCCTGGTCGGCATCCTCGCAGCTGCGAAGCTGCATGATCAGTGGTACACGCGTTTTGATGTCGTCGCCGCGGGGCAGGTCAACGCCGCTCAGCGCCTCGAGGAGCGACGACTTGCCGTGGCTTTGGTCGCCCTGCACAACGATTCGCGTCGAGTTGATCTCGCTCTCTCGCGAGGTGAGCTGGTTGACCTGGTCGTTTAGGTCGATCAGCGGGCGAACGTGCGCCTTGGTCAGTGTGGCCAGCATATCGAGCGTGACCTTGACAAATGACTCGCGCGACGCGAGACATCCGATCGAAGTAAAATGTGTGCACGTTTGAGATTCTGCCCATAGGGGTGGTTGAGGGGTTGAGGGTTGAGGCCCCCCCTCAACCATCTGGTTGACGGTTGAGACCCCCCGTCAACCCTTTAGTTGGGGGTTGAGGCCTCCAGGGCCTATTCACAGGCTCGCGCGTGATCACAAGATAAACTGGAACAGCCCCTGCCGCCAAAAAAACGCTTCGCCTGCGGCGCGCTCTTGCGCTCCTCGTACCTCGAGCGCAATCCATAAGTAGGAGACGCTCACTGTCGCCATTCAGGCGCCTGATCTTTCAGCAAAGCGATGGCCTACCTGGTACGAGTTCAGATGCGCGCCCGGCAGAAGACGCGTGTGATGCCGCATGCAGTGGAATGCGCACAGAGAACGGACGGCAAGAGAAGGCAAGGGAAGGAAGAGAAACGGCTGGTGAAGCTCAGTTCACGGCGTAGTATTGCGGTCACTAACCATCCACGGCAAGAGTCACGGGTGAATGCTGCCGCATAAAAGCAACAGAGTCGCGCTTGGCGCGATGGTCTTGTCGCGGTTCACGACTTGACGTTGCACACGGTCATAGGATCTATTTGGCGAGTCTCAAGCAGCAAAAGTAGGCGCGAGAAATTAATGTTGATCCTGAGATCTCAATTTTGGCGCTAGTTTCGTTTTCTGGTACATCACGACGACTTGCTTGGGTCTCATGTAGCTCGACGGCTCTTGGACCATGGACGGCTCTTTCTGGTTGGATCAGACAGTGCTATCAGTCAGCAACGAACGCAATGCCGAGAGCAGGGCGGCCTTCGAGGAGGGTCAACTAAGCTCCTGCTGCATATCGAGCATGGAAGGCGGCCATTGCTCAAACCTGTTCGAGTTGGCCTCCGGGAACAAGGGTGCGTGGCCGGCGCGGTCTGTTTCACGTGCAATAAGGGCAACGCCATCAAAATCGCGAACATGGCTCATGGCGGGCCGACATGCCTCCGACATTTCTCAGGGCTCGGACGGAAGCTCTGCAGACAGCCAGACCGCTCTGCGCGGTCGGACCGACTTTGTCAGACTTTACTATTCTGGATACTGTGAGGGTATGTGCTGCTAGATCTCACTGAGCTGAGCTCGTATCTGCCTTTTGGTAAAAGCAGTTTTGAGTTCGGTAATGTCTCCGGAGACGGAGGGCCGCGTCCGCGGACGGCCATGACTCGGCCGGGACCGCCCCGTGGGGGCCTTCGATGGCTGTCAGCGCTCCTCCGGGCTTTGCATCACACCTCCCATTCACGCACGTAGCTGAAGCAAGTACTCGTAAAAACGGCGCGTCAAATGCAGCATCCAGGCGTCTAAAGAAGACGACATGAATCGTCACAGAGAATGTGTGTTCAGACCTTGCGCGGGGGGTGTGAACAGCCATTCCGCGTGGTTGAGGGGTTGAAGGGGTCTGTCAACCACTTGGTTGAGGGTTGAGGCCTCTGTCAACCACGTGGTTGACAGTTGAGGCAATCGGCCTCAACACGTGGTTGACAGTTGAGGCAATCGGCCTCAACCACCGCTATGAGTAGATGAGATGTGACGTTTTAGGTTTGATGTTAGCAGATCAAGATGTGACGTGTATTAAAATGAAATCGGGGGCACGGGACGCGGCACAACCGGGGCACAAACGCCAGGCTACAAACACGGGCGGGGAGGCACGTAGTTAGTTAGTGACGCAAGGGAGTACAAGGGAGTCTAGGCGACGGTGGCGTCCTCCAATGCCGCGGCGAGCCCGACTGAGTGAGCTCGGTCGCAATCTCATCCGCCGCCGCGAGCTGCAGCGCGACTGACGTGCGCTCGGTGGGCCTGCAGCGACAGCCACGACCCCGTCGACCAGCTCGCCTCGTCCTCGTGCTGCAGCTTGATTGGAGAGCTTGTATGCTTGTTGCGCAGAGCTTGTTGCGCACCTTGTCCTTCATTCATCTGGCTGGTAGAACAGCCGCTTGACCGCGTTGCACCACCCGCCGAAGCGCGAAGGTTTCGAACGGGTACATCTCGGTTCTCGAGGTTCTCGAGGTTGATATCCTTTGGCCGCGTTGGGTAGCGAGGGTTGGTGTGACGCGATCCACGCAGGCGTGGTTTCTGACGGCCGACCGTCAGTGCACGGAGTTGCCCCTTCTCCGACTGCCCCGGCTAGTTCACGAGTTTCGCGGGAGTGACCCCATGCGTCAAACCCGCGACCTAGCGCGGGTGGGTTGGGGGGGGGCTCGCTGCAGGGAAGGGCTGTGTAAGAAGCCGATCCCCGTAGTCTGCCCCGCTCCTCCCCATCGGGCCGCATGAGCGGCCGCGCCTCGCAGATTCGTTTTCGCGCCTGGGTCAGGCGCGCGGGGCATCCCCCGGGTCGCTCGACCAGCGATCCGAAGAGTGGCCGCTATGCGAAGGAAAGAGTGGGGCCCTCGGGGTACGCCTCGTCCGGCCCCCTCCGAGGGGGAAAGGGAATTGCGGGGTCCCCTCGGGCGCCTCAGTGTGTACGTCGCTCGTCGGTGTTCCGAGCGCGAGATGTGACGTGGTGATCTTGTGATTACGAACAACTACAAAAACGAACACCACTTGGAGCACTCTTGGAGTGCAGTTGGTAACCTCACACAGATGCAGAGATGCTCGGTATCGGGTTGCGGGCAAGAGAGCCCTAGCCCTGGGGGGTGCGCATTCGCCGGGAAGGGGCCATAAAGTAAACACGGTTCTCCGAGGGTTGGCTCCGCGCTCCGGGTTTCCCCTACCTACCTACCTAGCTAGCAGCAGACAGAACGCCCCCTCTACCCGGAGCTAGATCACACCCGACACGGACACGAGACGACCCACACTCCCACTGGGCGACGGCTTCGCCACTCAGGATCCCTCCGCCCGGTCTCCTTGCCCCCGTTCCAGGGGGGCTCCCCTCTCTGCGGTCTCACAGCGATTTTGTTTCCTAAACTCTGCTGGAGCCCTCGGCGGCGGGTCGCCCTGCACTGTGCACACCTGAGCCGCAATGGTCTTCAAGTGCGGCGAGCGCCCTATCTGGGAGATGCCGCTCTTCCGGCACCTCGTGCTCGGCAACTCGCTCGCCAAGGACCCGTCGGAGCTGGCGCCGGCGCCGGCTCAAGGCACGCCGCTGCTCCGAACGCTCATCGACGCCCTCGTCGTGGTGTCTGCGCAGCTGGAGGCGCTCGAAAAGTTCGGCTACGCCGCGCCGGCGCTGCGCCGGACGGTCGGGCGCGTCCACGCGGCGTTTGCCCGCTCGCTGGAGCTGTGCCGCATGCTGCCACAGGTCCGGGACAATGCGACCTTCTACGAGCTGCTGACCACCTTCACGGCGCAGGTCAAGGCGCTCATGCCGGGCGGGATCCTCGTCATCCCGGGCGGGTGGGCCGGCGGCGTCACCGTCTACGTCCTCCACTGCGTCTCGTACGAATCGTACACGCTCGCCATTTGCAGCACAGGGTCGGGGCTGCAGTGCGCGCCTCGCCCTGCCCGCCACCCCTCCCACCCCGCCTCGCTCCCACTCCAACCTCCCACCTCCTCCCGCCCTCTCTCCCGCCCTCTCCCCCACCCTCCATCCCTTGCAGGTACCACCCCACGCGGATCGACCCGGCGACTGGCGCGGTGCAGCGCCACGCCCCGCTCCTCCTCCTCCTCCTCCTCCTCCTCCTCCTCCTCCTCCTCCTGTGAGATATACAGAGCGCCTTGTCCGAGAGCCTCCCGGATCCCTCGCCCGCAGGTGCAGTACAACACCCCTCTGCTGCTGCTCGACATCCCACCCGGCCGCGTGCGCGACTCGGCCATCTGGTTCATCCTCATCCGCGCCGCCCTCTTCCCGGACAAGAACCACTCGGCGGCCACGCCGCCACCCACCACCCACCACCACCATCCACCACCCACCACCTCCTCCCTCTCCCGGCAGGCGTCCCTCATCTACGAGAAGCTCCTCCCCTACCTCAACCGCAAGCCAATCGGAGCCAACGTGCCCGACCCGAACGCGCCACCGCCCGCCGAGCCGCCACCGCCTCCTCCGCCGCCCGCCGCGGCGCAGCCTCCGCCAGGAGAGCGCTCCGCCCGCGGGCAGCGCCGCGCCTCTGCACGCCTCTTCGCTGAGGCGCCTCGTACCCTCCCTGCAGGCGCGCCGGCGGTCGGCCAGGCCGCGCCGGGCTTCTGGGGACCGGCAAGCACGCAGCACGGCGGAGGGGGCGGGTTCGGAGACGGCTTTGGCGGCGGCGGAGGAGGCTTTGGCGGCGGCGGAGGCTTCAGCGGCTTTGGAGCGCCTGCGGCTGGGAACCCGCAGCAGCGGCGCAAGGCGCCGCCGACGCCGCCGTCGTGGCATACGCCGGAGGCTGGCGGCGACCCGTACGCGCACGGGCTCGCCTCTCTCGCGGCGATGGTCGCGCTGCAGATGACTGCGGAGGGGGAGCTGCTCGAGATCATGCAGCGCGGGCTCGAGCACGGCGGAGGGAGCAGCGCCGGCCCGACCTACAACGCGGACGGCCTCTCGCTGCTGCTGCAGCACCAGCTCTGCGTCCTCGCGTACGAGGACCTTCTGCAGGAGCAGGTGGGCTGCCCGTGCACATGCCTCCCTGACAGGACGCCTCGCGTGGTGAAGCCCTGTGTCTGCCTCGCGTGGTCATGCCTTGTGTCTCCCGCGTCTCCAGCGCCTGCACGTGCCCCGCGTCCCTGCTGCGCGTCTGACGGACGGACGGACTGCAGGTGGCGAGTGGAGGCGCAGTCGGCTCGACCCTCTCGGCCGCCTCGCTCGAGGAGCCGCTGCCACGTCCACCACACGTCCACGACACGTCCATGACATGTCTCGGCAGGCCGCTTCGCTCGAGCTGCTCATGCGATCGACGCGCCGCCTCTCCGCCTCCTCGCCCCGACTCGCGCGCGGCGCCGTGTCGCTCGCGCCGTCCGAACTCGACGGGATGCTCACGCAGCTCCGCACGCTCTCGGGCGCCATCGGAGACGCAAAGGCGGTCGTGACGACGGAGCTGGGGCCGATCACGCCGCCGCCGATGGACGAGGTGCGCGGCTCCGCGACGCTGCCCTACTTCGACCGGCTGACTGACTTGCCCGACGTGGAGGGGCTCGCCGGCGCGGCGCGCGAGCCCCCGGTCGTGCTCCCGATCCAGCTCTCGGTGGTGCCGGACAAGGTGGAGACCTTCGCCGACGTGTCCAACGCGCTGCAGCAGGCGGCGGCGGTGTGCCGGCTCCTACCTGCTGCGAGCCGCGCCTCCTCACAGCCGGCCGGTCTGAACAGGCGACCGTCGTCTGCACGCTGCTCGCCAACCAGCGAGGCCTCGTCCAAAACTCGTACGCGCTGCGCGCCGCGCTCATCACGCACCTCTTCGTGCGCGTGGTGCCGCTGCCGCTCGCGATGAGCAACACGGGCCGCGCGCTGCGCTGCTTCTGGAATCGGAAGGACCGCTCCATCTCGCACGACACGCAGGCGGAGCTGCTGCGCTGGATCTCGCTGCTCTGCCGCCACTACGCGGCCGCCTCGCTCTCGCTGCCGCTCACCGTCTCCTTCGACGCGACGCGCATGATCGTCTTCGCCTCGATGGCGGCGGTCGCCGACGCCATCCTGCGGCTCCGTGCGTTCGACGCACCCTCCCTCCTCTCGCTGCACTACTCCGGCCAGGCGGAAGGACCGGTGTCGCCGCCCTCCCGCTCCGGGCGCTGTGGGCGAGGACGGCGTCTCTTCACGGCTCCGGCTGTGGGCAGGTTGCGCCGTTCGCGCTCGAGATGCGCCACTTCGAGCGCGAGAGCGAGCGGTGCCAGCTGTACACGCCCGAGCTCGCCGTCGCGCGCACGCAGCTGCTCGACTATTTCGGCGACCTGCAGCGCGCGGCGCCGGCCGAGAACCGCCTCTTCCGTTTCGAGCGGTCGATGGAGCTCGGCGTGGGCGAGGGGCGGCTGCTCAGCCAGCTCGCGACACAGCTCGGCTTTGCCAAGGACGAGGCTTCGCTCGGCGCCTTCCTGTCGGGGCAGGACTCGGCGATGGTCGACCTCTTTCCCGAGCTCGCGACCTTTCGCGACGTCGTCTTTATGCTCAAGGCCGAGACCGAGCCGAGATCGAGCCGAGGCAGAGCTGAGATGTAGCCGAGGCTCAGCCGAGAGGCGCCGTCCTTGTGCTGCTCAGGCGATGATGGTCCCGTCGGGCGACGCGCTGCCCGAGCTGCGCGCGTGGACGCCGATGGACGCGACGCTCAAGTGCTTGAGATGCCCGTAGCCGAGACGTGGCCGAGACGTAGCCGAGATGCAGCCGAGGTGCAGCCGAGGTGCAGCCGAGGTGCAGCCGACGTGTGTGGACGGGACGTGGGCGAGTGGCGATCGGGCGAGTGCGATCTCGGCGCATCCGGGCGGACTTCGCGCCATCTCCGCCAGGTGGGCCTACCGGCCTGCGAGCGAGGGGAGCGCGGGCACCTTTGCGGTGGGCGGCTTCGGCTCCAAGGAGATGCACGTGGGCGGCTGGCTCGAGGAGGACGGCGACGACGACGACTACTATGCCGTCTCATCCAAGGCGGTGCACCCGCGCAAGCGGTTCGGCTTCTTCCGCCGCCTCTTCAAGAAGGAGCCGAAGCCGCGCCTCGCCCCGTCGGCGGCGGACGCCTCCTCGCTGTGCGGGCAGGAGGTTGCGACCGAGGAGGACATCCTGCACGTCAAGTCGCTGCCAGACTTCAACGGCACGCTGCGCGCCGCCGACTCGGAGCTGCTGCTGCAGTACCTGACCGCGCCGTACTTGCGCGTGCCGCTGCTGCTCCGCTTCTTCTCGCAGGCGTCGCACACGGCCGCGCTCGCCCACCCCGAGCTGCAGGACGTCCTCGACGCCGCCGTCTTCGAGCCGGGCCTGTGGCAGCCCAACGAGAAGAAGGAGATGCCGCAGCACATCCCGGCGGAGAGCAAGCGCCACCTGGCGACGCCCGTCGGGCTCCTCTTCCAGGAGTGCCCCCCCCCCCCCCCCCCCGGCGTGCGCGCCCCGTCCTCACACGCTCCGCCCGTAAACAGGAGCTCACGCACGCGCCCGCCGTCACGCTCGGCTGCGTGCAGACCCTCCTCGACAACGCGCTCGACATGGACGCCGGCCGCTACTCGCCGCACGGCGCGTCGGCCACCATTCTGTACGCGGTGCGGCTGACGCTGCGCGTCGAGGGGTACGTGCGCTACCTCCTCTCGCCGCTCGCCGAGACATGCCGAGGCCTCGAGCGCGCTGCGGGCGGTAACATGCAGTGCGACGCGCCGACGCGCGCCGAGCTCGCGCGCGGCTCGGCGGCGCTGCGCGCCAAGCTGGAGGACCACGCGCTTCCGGTGATGCAGGGCTGGTACGCGCGGCTGCGGCGCGAGGGGCAGACGCGCGACGCGTGCGTCGTGGCGGCGCACATGGCATTCCTCTTCTCCGAGGTGACGGAGGAGGAGCTCGACGCGCGCGGCCTCTTCACGCTGCTCTCGTGCCGCATCTTCATCAACGCGCGCCGCCGCCGCGGATCGAGCCGACCCGCTGGTGGAGGCCGTCTCTTCACACGCCTCTGCTGTGAACAGGTCCACCACGACTACGACGTCGAGCCGACGGTGCCGCTGCCCGGCCACCCGCCGCCAAAGCCGCGCAAGCGCGACGTGCGCGAGCGGCCTTCGCTCGGATTCGCAGCGATGGACGTCTTCGACCTATGGCAGCGCCACCTGGGCAAGGGGCTGCGCTGGCTGCAGGCCAACCCGTCGCAGGCGTCCGAGATGATGGAGGCGGTGGTGCGGCTCCTCTCGGGCGCCGAGGACGCGAGCACGCCGCGCATGGCGACGCGGACGTGGCACTCGATGGTCGGCATGTCGTGCGACGGCCGCTTCGTGCCCGACACGGCCGCCGCCGCCGCGAGCGCCAAGAGCGGGCGGCAGGACGGGCAGGCGGAGACGTGGAGCCAGGTGGCGGAGCGGGAGGCGGCGGCGGCGGCGCGGCACGGCTACGCGGCGTGGCTGCGCGCGCGCATCTCGCCCTCGACCGAGACGGAGATCAACGTGCAGCTGGGCGAGATGACGCTCAAGCGGCAGGCGATGCGCATGCTCGAGAAGGAGGTTGCGGCGCACCACGACTTCGTCGCCGTCTTTGGCGAGCCGAACGCGCAGGCGCGCCACCAGTGCGCCGAGGTGAAGCGCTCCGAGCACCGGCTGTGGGTGCGGCTGCTCGGCACGCGGCACGACGTGCAGATCTGGACGCCCGACTCTCGCCCGCCGAGGGCGCGGCGCGCGGCGATGCTCTCCTCGGCGCCGTGGGTCGCGAGCATCCTCGAGCCGCTGCAGGCGCAGGTGCCGCTGCTGCGCCGGCTGAGCGAGAATGGGAAGGGCCTCTCGCTCATCGAGGTGCAAGGCGACCACGCGCTCTGCTCGACGACGGACGAGGAGAGCGGCACCCTCAAGGAGGTGATCATCACGCGCGTGCCGCCCTCGGCGCACATCTTCAACGTCGTCGAGCACGGCCGTCGCTGGCTGCGCTGCCTCGAGTACTCCTCCGACGCTGCCCTCTGCCTCGGCGAGCTCGTGCGCGGTCCTCTCTCGGTCAACCCGAAGCCGCAGCCGCACTGGCAGGTTGGCGACGCGGATGTGCCGTACACGCCCAAGGCGTCGCTCCTGCTCACCCGCTCGCTCACCAAGGACGAGCCGGTCCAGACCTTCGTGCCGGAGCGCTTCCTGCGCGGCCTGCTGCCGGAGGCGCTCGTGGCGGCGTACGACTTTTGGCAGCGACCCGACGGCTCGCTGGTCGGGGAGCTGCGCAGTGCCGACGGCAAGGCCGAGGGCGACGACGGCGCGCCGCCGCCGCCGGCCGCGCTGGCCGCGCCAGGCGGCGGCGCCGCCGCCGGCGTGATTGCGGGCGACCAGCTTCAGATCTCAAAGGCGGGCGGAGGCTGCGCCGTGGTGCGTCGCGTGCCTCTGGGGGCGGACGGGGCGCCGGTCGGCTCGGCCGGCCGCACGCTCGTGGGTGCGGCGTACGCGGCCAAGGACACGGCGCTGGGGAGGCTCGTCGCGACGCTCTCCCGCGCCGAGGACTTGTCGCACGTGCTGCTCTGGTCGGCGGAGGGGGCGCGGGGCGAGTCGTCGCTCTCCGTCGAGCGCGTCGAGCTGCCGCGGCTGAGGCTCGCCTTTGAGGCCCGCCGCTGGCGGGATGGCAAGACGCGCCTCAACTCGGTGGAGCACCCCGGCCTCGCGCTGGGCATGCCGAGCTGCGAGCGGCTCAACGGGCTGCTGCGCGGCATGCCGCACGCGCTCGTGCTCTTCTCGGAGGACGGGGACACCTTCCTCCTCCTCTCTGCCCTCGCCAAGCCATGCCGCTTGCACGACCCGGCCGAGGCGCTCAACACGCAGCTGCTCGTCGCGCGCAGCGCCCCCGGCTGGGAGGAGGCGATGACGGGCGTGCGGCACTACCTCTACCCCGTCCACCCCTCGCGCACGTACATGACGCCGCCCTCGCTCTCCGCCGCCATCGCGTTGCTCGTCCTCCGCTGGCTCGCGCGCGACTACGCGTCCGCCTTCGCGCTGTGCGCCGCGTGCGCCACAGACACGCCGCCGACGCCCGAGGAGGCGCAGCTCTGGGCGCTGCTCTCCGACTTCGAGGACGACTACGAGCCGGGCTCGCACGCGGTGCGCCTCAAGCTGTGGCTCGCGACGCGCAACGGCGCCGAGCTGCACTGCCCGTGGGAAGTGCGCGAGCAGCTCCCGCTCTACCTCGCCAAGCTCGCCTACATCGCCGCCGACTGCCAGCTCTCCGCCGCCGAGGAGATGCTCATCCTGCGCGCCGTCGGCGACGAGTCGATGCCCGGCGCTGCGAACCGGCTCGCCTTCCTCGAGACGGCGCTGCGCGCAGAGAGCGCCGACAACGCCTCCGCCGACGCGGCGAACCCGTTCGGCGGGCGCGTGTCGGAGGGGGGCGGCGCCACGCTGCAGTGCCGCTACCCGAAGCCGCCCAAGCCGATGGTGTCCGAGAGCGACAACTTCGACACGCGGCTCGAGCACACCCACCTCCTCGAGGGCATCATCGACAAGATCACCGACAAGATCAGGGGCAACGCCTGGCAGACGCGGATGGGCTCGCTCACGTACACGCGCCCCGAGCCGGAGAAGGACAAGAACACGGGCAACACGCACGACCCGTCGGGGCTCGCGGCGATGGGCCTGCTCACGCAGTGGATGCAGCAAGGCGTCAAGCTCGACTCCGACCACAAGGGCTTCTGGCTGCTGTACGAGCTCTTCACGGGCTCGCTCAATGTGCGAAGCCAGCTGGATGGCGCGCCAACCTCGCACGCCATGACGTGTGGTTGGCAACCCCCTTCTAGGTTCGCATCCTGATGGACGACTCGTCGCACAACTTCGGCGCCATCCTGCTCCGCGTCGCGGGCAAGTCGGGCGCACAGCGGGCCGCAGCCGCCCGACGCGGCCCGTGTGCACGGCCTCCCTTCACGGCTCGCAGCTTGTGAACAGGCGCCGACGAGCTGCTGCCGCTCATGCGGTTGCTCGAGCTCGACCCGCAGTTCGCGCAGGAGTTCCCAAAGTACAAGCACGTCAAGAAAGGCGGCTTCTCTGTCTTCAAGGGCAAGGCCGGCAAGGGGATGCCGGAGGAGGTGGGCGTCTTCCTGCGCGAGCGGCTGCAGTTCTTCCGGCAGGGGATGGTCTTCAACCCTCCGTCGCTCTACCGGCCGCCCATCGAGGTGCCGCCTCCCGCCAGCAGCACGAGCAAGCCGCTCTCGGGAGCTAGACACTCTCAGGAGCAAGACACTCTCTGGTGGGGTCAGAGGCGGCTCTGTGAGGCCGGAGCTAGAAGTGTTGTGCGAGAGCATGCCGGTGGTCGAAGCCCCCACTCCCCCCTCCGTCCCGCCTGCCAGGTGCGTATGCTGCCGATGCGCGAGCTGCGCCACCTGCACCGCACCTGGCTCACGCCGCACCTCCTCGACCGCGACCGGCCGACGTGGAGCGTGCCCGCAAACTTCCGCGACACGATCGCCCCGTCGGGCGACCACGCCGGCAAGGCGATCGTGCTCTCGCCGATCGGTCCGCTCAACTACATCGCGCGCGGCGCGAACAGCCAGCTGGGCGAGTGCCCGACGCTCGCGCTCGGCCGTCACCCGGCGGCCAATGCCGTCGTCGCGCGCAAGATGCTGTCGCGCCTAGCCGAGGACGCCGCCTGGCTGCGCGACCAGGCGGCGAGCGAGGCGCGCGCGCCGCACCTCGCGGGCTTCGACGGCGCCGCGCCGTCGCAAGCCTCGTTCGCGCAGCAGGAGAGCGTGCTCAACCGGCTCGTCGGCGCGCTCGACAAGCTGCACGCCGACGACCTCGCCGCCTTCGAGGCCGAGCTGCCGCAGGTGCTGCAGCTCGCCAGCCAGGGCCCGCCCAACGCGCCAGAGTCGGAGCGGCGGGCGCGCGCACTCGCGCAGTGGGCGCAGTGCGAGCGGCCGATCGGGCTGGGCCTCCTCTCCGAGCTGCTCATGTCGCGGCGCGGCGAGGTCGAGCTGCGCGCGCTCAACCCGCTGCTGGGCGAGCAGGACGCGCGCGCCGCCATGGACGGCACCGCCGCGCTGCTGCTGCGCGTCTCGCGCTCCATCTTCGCCGCCAAGGCGCGCGCCGTCGCGTGGAAGCTGCAGCGCACCCTCGCGTCGCTCAAGGCCAAGCTCTCGGCGGGCGGCGGCGCGGCGGCGCAGGCGGACGTGGCGCAGGCGGTCGCTTCGCTGCGCGTCGTCTCGGAGACGCTCGCTCGCACTCTCTGCTTCCGCCGGGCGCACGTCACGCCGCCGAAGCGCGCCCCGCCCGGCGCCGCTGGCGTCGGCGCGGACGGGGTGGTTCCGGCGAGCCTCGACCCGCGGATGCTCGTCTTCGAGTTTGCGGGCGGGATGGTGCTGCGGCCGCCGCAGGTGAGCCTGATCAGCAAGCTCGTGAGCGGCACGACGCAGGGCCGCTCGATGTGCCACCAAATGCTCATGGGCGAAGGCAAGACGACGGTCATCGCGCCGATGCTCGCTCTCCTCATCGGGGACGGCTCGATGCTCGTCACGCAGATCGTGCCGACGCCGCTGCTCCGCTTCTCGCACGCGACGCTGCGCTCCGCCTTCTCGGCGCCGCCGCTGCACAAGCCGGTGTGGACGTTCCGCTTCGACCGTCGCGCCTCGGTGACGATCGAGCTGCTCGACAAGGCGCGCGACGCATCTCTCGGGCCACACCTCCCCTCGGCCTCCCCTCGGCCGCCCCTCGGCCGCACCTCTGCGCCGCTCGACCAGGTGCGCGCCGCTGTGACGGAGCGCGCGGTGCTGCTGTCGACGCCGGCGGCGGTGAAGGCCTTCTTGCTCAAGCTGCTCGAGCTGCTGCACCTGCTCGACACGGGGCAGTACCCGAAGAACCTCAACTCGATCGGCGAGAAGATGCGGCGCGTGATGCGCCTCAAGCCACGCAAGGTGACTCACGGCCGCGTCGACACGGCGTCTCCGGCTGTGTCCCGCGCCTCCTCACAGCCGTTGCTCACCTTCTGCAGGTGACCGACGACCGGATCGACAAGGCGTCGCTGCAGCAGCAGGCGGCACGGGCCGTCGCGCTGCTCCAGCTCTGGAAGAGCGGCGTCGGCATCATCGACGAGGTTGACGTGGTGCTGCACCCGCTCAAGTCGGAGCTCAACTGGCCGCTCGGCGACAAGCACGCGCTCGACTTTGCGCCCACGCGGTGGGAGCTGCCGTGGTGGATGCTGCACGCGCTGCTGCTGCTCCAGGAGGAGGCCAAGCCCGAGTCGCAGCGCGCGAGCTGGCTGGCCAGCGGCCGCAGCAGCGCCGGCCTCTCGGGCCGCAACAGCGCGCCTGCCAGCAAGAGCGTCTCGTCCACGTCTGCCGAGGCGGAGCGCGAGTGCCTTCTCCGGCTGAAGAGCGCGTGCGAGCAGGGCATCGCGGGCAACTACATGCAGCGCGTGCCCCACCTCGCCCTCCTCTCGGAGGAGTGGTACCACGCGACGCTCAAGCCGCTGATGGGCTCCTGGCTGCTCATCTGGCTCCGCCGCACCGGTCTGCACGACATCTCGGACGACGCCGCGATCCGCTGCCTCGCCGGCGGCGGCGTCGAGGGCTCGATGGCAAACAGCGCCACGCTCTCGGACAAGCAGGCCAAGATGCTCAACCTCGGCCACGACTGGCTCACCTACCTGCTGCCGCACGTGCTGCGCAAGATCTCGCGCGTCCACTTCGGCCTCATCGCACGCGCCCGAGAGGGCTGAGATGCAGCACGCGTGCATGACGCGTGCATCGCATGCCCCATAGGCCTCCTCTCGGTTCCAGAGATGATCGCGATGCAGCGCGACGGCGCCTTGCCTCGCTCGCGCCGCTACATGGCCGTCCCCTTCGTCGGGAAGGACACACCGACCGCCTCGTCCGAGTTTGCGCACCCCGACGTGGCCATCGGGATCTCGATCCTCGCGTACCGCTACGAGGGGCTGCGCAAGCCCGACTTCGGCGCGCTCATCCAGAACCTGCGCCACATGCTCGAGGCGGAGATCGGCCCCGAGCTCAAGCGGCCAACCTCTCTCCTCTGGATGGAGTGGATCGAGGCGGCCGGCCGGCGCGTGCGCGGCACAAAGACGCTGCAGCGGCGCGAGGCGGCAAAGTCGGGCGCGGGAGGGGAGGGGAGCGCGAGAGGCCGCGCCACACCTCGGCTGCATCTCGGCTCCGCCTCGGCCGTAGGCGCGGCGGCCGAGGAGCTCTCGGGGACCGAGAGCCCGTCTCGACAGCGCGCCTCGGGGTATGAGCCCGAGACGCCGCGCTCGGCCGCCGTCGGCATCATCCGCGACCCGATGCCGCCGCCGCCGCCGCCGCCACAAGCCTCGGAGGGCGACGCGCGAAAGTCGGTGGGGACGGCCGTCTCGCAGGCGCTCGGCGGCGACGGCGACCCAAACATGTGGGACATCCTCCCGCTGCACTTGCTCGACCTGATGGACGTCGACTACATGAGCATGCTCTTCGAGCTGCTGCGCAAGCTGCCAAACACCGTCCAGTTCTACCTCGACCACATGGTCTTCCCGGAGACGACCGCGCACCAGCGCGCGAAGCTGTCGGCCAACGGCCAGGACCTGGGCGGCGAGATGCTCTTCTCGCGCCGCATCGCCTTCTCCGGCACGCCCTCCTCGCTGCTGCCGCTCGAGATGGGCGCCTGCATCCACTCGATGGGCGACGACGCGAAGATGCTGCGCACGCTCACCAACCCCGCCGTCGTCACGTCCCGCATGCTGCCCGCCGACTGGGACGTGCCCGGCGTGCTGCAGCTGCTCGCCGAGATGCAGCCGCCCGTGAGCGCGCTCATCGACTGCGGCGCGCTCGTCACCGGCATGAACAACCGCGAGGTCGCCGCGTACCTGCTGCACCGGCTGCCGCCGCAGATGGAAGGCGTCGTCTTCCTCGAGGCGGGCGGGCACAAGAAGATCATGCTGCGCGCCACGGGCAACGTCATGGACCTCGAGCGGTGCGGCACGCCGCCCGACAAGCGCTTCTCCTTCTACGATCAAGTGCACACGACGGGGATGGACATCCCGCAGCAGCCGAACGCCGTCGCGGTGCTCACCCTCGGCAAGGACCTCACCTTTCGCGACTACGCGCAGGCAGCGTACCGCATGCGCGGGATCGGCAAGGGGCAGACCATCTCCCTCTTCGTCACGCCGCAGGTCGCCCAGCTCCTCGCCAACGAGGCGGCCGGCGGCCGTGGCGTGTCGGCGCAGAACCGGCGCGCGGAGCTCTCCGCGATGCCGCCGCAGCAGCGGATGCGCGCCGAGCTCGAGGACGTGTCCGCCTGGCTGATGGTCAACTCGATGAAGACGGAGAAGATCCAGTTCGAGCTCTGGTGCGCGCAGTGCGCGCGAAACGTGTGGCGGAAGAAGGCGGTCGGCCATTTGCGCCACGTCTACACCGAGATGGGAGGCAAGACGCTCTCGCCCATCGCGCCCGGCTCGGCGCACACGGGCCGCCACTCGCTCGACGTCTTCCGCGAGCGGGTGGTGCGAGACGTCTCCAACTCGGTGCCCCAGTTCGTCGACCCGCGGCAGGAGATCGCGGACAACGTGAGGGTGTACTCGGCGCTGCTGCAGGACCCGGCGGACATCAAGGCCATCGAGCGCATCCAGGCGCTGCTGTCGGGCCACGACTTCGACGCGAACACGCAGACGAAGCGGCCGGAGGGCGCCGGCTTCGAGCAGGAGCAGGAGCAGGAGCAGGAGCAGCAGCAGGAGCAAGAGCAGGAGCAGCAGCAGCAGCAGCAGAAGGAGCAGGAGCAGGAGGAGGAGGAGGAGGTGGACGACTACCGGCGCGAGAAGTACGTGCGCGAGGACGAGTACCCGCACAAGTGGCCGCTCGCCAAGCTCAAGGAGCCGCCGGGCGAGATGGTGCAGGGCTTCTTCCCCGCCTCCGACTTCGCCGTGCACCGCTCCTTCATGGAGAAGAAGGGGCCGCTCCATTGGCCGAGCTACCTCCAGTTCTCGTCTGACCACACCCACCCGCGCTGGCGCTTCCAGTCGCACCGCCGCCTCAAGAACGTCATCGTGCTGCTCGAGTGGCTGCCCGACACCGCCCTCTCCGGCGGCGCCGGCGGCATGGGCCTCGACGCCAAGGCGGAGAAGGCGCTCAAGCTCTCCGCCGGCGCGACCACGCGGCTCGGCCGCATGTTCGAGATGTACGACGTGCAGTCCTCCGGCGCCATCGGTGAGGAGCACCTCGACCACTGCTTCTACGACATGGGTCTGCGGCCAAACTCGGACGCCGTCGACGCCGAGGCCGTCTCCGAGCAGAAGGAGGCGCTGCGGCGGATGCACTTTGTGCGCGGCGGCGCGCACGGGCAGGAGCTCGCGCTGCCCGCCGCGCACTGGCCAAAGATGATGCAGGAGCAGCGCTTCCTGCGCGGCGACACGGGCCGCTTCTGGGTCGCCCTCTCCCTGCGCGAGGCGGAGGCGCTGCGCGGCGCGATCCACCTCGCGATGGACACGGGCGAGCCGCTCGTGCCCGACAGCCGCGTTGCCGTCGGACTGCGCGCCGGCCACATGATGATCGACTGCGTCGGGCCCCCGAAGCCCGCGCCGGGCGGCGGCGGCGGCGGCGCCATCTCCTTCACCGCCGCCGCGTCGGTCGAGCCCTTCCCGCGCGCGCCGCGGCTGCAGCTCGACTCGGCGGTGAGCCGTCCTCCCCGCTTCACTGCGACTCGCGGCCGGGTATAGTGCGGAGAGTGTGAAGTGCGGAGAGCCGCACCTCACCCCTCCCGCCGCGCGGAGCAGGTGAGCGCCTTTCGCTTCATCGACTCACAGCTCGCCTTCACCGAGCGGCACGCGCGGCTGCTGCTGCGCATGCTGCGCCTCGACGCGCCGCAGGACCGGCGCAAGTGGTTCCAGGATGTGTGCGGCTGCCGCCGCCGGCCGCAAAACAAGCTCATCAACATCAAGCGCGGCGGCATCGCGACGGCGGTCAACGTCGAGGACGAGTACCACTTGCTCGTGCAGGCGGCGACGCTGTGGCGAGTCGGCCGCGAGATGTCGCACCGGCAGCTCGGCACGCACGACCTGTACCACGCCTTCAACGGCAAGCGCGACGGCTACCTCACCTGCGGCGAGCTCGCGGCAAGCCGCTCCGCCGGCGGTGCGTCGCGAGGGCGAGGGGCCCCTCTCCAAGCCTGCTCGGGACCCTCCCCGTAGGCGGGCCTCGCCTGGCTCGGCGTCAAGGTGAGCGAGGACGACCTGCACGCCTTCCTGCGCGGCCTCGACTCGAATGCCGACGGCCTCCTCACGCTCGACGAATGGGCGGCGGGCTTCCCCCTCCTCGCCGAGTCGGAGCCGGCGACGCACGAGGCGCTCGCGACCCTCTCGCTCAAGCCAAAGCAGGTGCGCGAGCTCTTCGAGGGCGCCACCGCCAAGAAGAAGGAGTTTGCACCCGTGCCGCCCGACCGGCTCGCGAAGTTCAAGTTCAAGCTGCACGCGCACAAGGCGTACACCCAGATCTTCACCTCCAAGCGCACCGACCTGCGCGAGCAGCTCACTCTTTGGGAGCCCGACGTCGACGACCGCTCCAAGCTCCTCTCTGCCAAGAAGGCGCGCTTCAAGGTCTGCCTCGGCCACTACGCCGTCGGCGGAAGCGAGTCGCCCGCGCGCGGGCTGCGCACGGCGCCGATGGTGCTCGAGGTGACCGACACGAGCATCACGATGGGCCTCTCCGCGTCGGAGCACCTCGCGGCGGTCGTCGAGCAGCTGCTGCCGCCGCCGCTCCGCTACCGCCTCGCGTGGCACTCGGAGGAGCACGAGCTGTGGGTGTGGCGCGCGGTGCCGCCCGGCGCGGCCTTCCTCGCCCTCGGCATGGTCGCCACGCGTAGCGAGGAGCCGCCGCCGCCGCACGCGATGTGCTGCGTGCCGCGCCGCTGGTGCGTCCGCGACGCCGAGCGGCCGCGCGCCATCTGGAAGGATTCAGGTGGCGCCGGCCGGCCAGGCTCGATCTGGGCGACGGGGATCCAGCTGCAGCTCATGCTGGCGGTGCTCGGCCACGACCCGCCGCCCGCCGACCTCGCGTGGCGCCTCGGCACCGACCGCTGGTACGCGGTGCCCGAGAGGCTGCGCGATCTCATCGAGACGGCGGGCCCGCGAGCGCGCCCAGCGGAGCCCTCCCCGCCCCTTCTCCGAGCCCTCGCTGGGCCTCCCCATAGGTGGACCCGCGCGCGAGCATGGTCGGCGGGGGGTGGACGCCTCGCGAGGCTGAGGCGGCCACCACCTCTGCCGACGGCTGGCTCGCGTCGAAGAAGCTCGAGCTGCAGGCGCGCCAGCCGCCGCCGGGCTCCGTGCAGGCGTCGCTCGCGCAGAGCGACAACCCTTGGGGCTCCGCCCCGGGCGGCGGCGGCACGGTGCCGGAGCCGGTGTCGCCGGGCGGGCTGCTCGCGCTCGCCGCCGAGGCGGACCTCTCGTCGGCGATACCGGCGCGTGCGATGCCGCCGCCGCCGCTCATGCCGGCGGCTGCCGCCGCGCCGCGCCCGCCCGCCGCGGCTCCCGCCCCTGCTTACGCTGGCGGGGTGCCTACGTATCAGCCGCCGATGAACCTGACGGCGCTCGGCGGCGGCGGGGGGCCGCCCGCGGCGGCGGCCCTTGCGCCGTCGCTGGTGCCGTCTCCGCCGCCGCAGGCGGCAGCCCCGGCCGGCGACCTTCTCGCCGCTCTCGGCGCAGCGCCGCCCGCGGCGTCGTCGAGCGGCCTGCTAGACGGGATGGCGCCCGGGCCGGCGCCGATGGCGCCGATGGCACCGATGACGCCGATGATGGCGCCCATGGCTCCGATGGCGCCGACCAAGCCTGCGGGCGGCGGAGGCGGCGCTCTCGATCCCTCCATGTTTGGCGCGCCCCCCGCCGCTGCCAATGCGCCCAGCTCCGCGCCGGTAGCACCGGGTGCGCTGATGATGCCCTCGCGAGCGCCCGCCGCCGCTGCGAGCAGCGGTGTCGGCGCGGCGCCGCTGATGCCCGCGCAGCCGCCCGCCGCGGCCGCTGCCTCCGCCGGCGGCATGCTCAGCCCGGGCATGTTTGCCGCCACAAGCGCCGCCAGCGCGCCGCTGGTGCCGTCCAAGCCGGCGACGCTGCAGCCGACGGTGGGGAGCGTCCCACTCGTGCCTCAGTCGGCGCCGGCGCCGGCCGTGACGCCGTCGGTCGGCCCTCCCGCGGCGACGCCGGCGGCGCAGATCGCGTGGTGGAAGATGACCCTGCAGACGGAGGGCATCCTGCTGCCCGGCCCGTCGCTGCAGCTCGGGTTCAAGACCGACTTTCGGCCGCCGCGCGGCCGGATCGGCATCTACTTTGGCAACCTCGGCGGCGGCGCCCTCTCGATCTCCGCGTGCGCCGTCGCCATGTCCGACGGCGCGCCGCCTGTCCCGCCCACGCCCCCCCCCCCCCTCTCCCGCCGCCACCTCCCCTCCCACCCTCCCTCTCCACGCCCGCAGGCTCCTCGGGCGGGCTCACCATCACGGCCGCGGCGGGGCCCACGGCGCTGCCGCCGCGCGGCCAGGCGCTCATGATGGTGCAGCTCGAGCACGCCTCGCCGTTCGGGCCGGCGGTGCCCGCCCTCACCGTCACGCTGGCCGGCGCGGTCGGCGGCGGCGCCGGCGGCGCGCACAAGCTGCCGGTGGCGCCGCACCGCTTTGTGCAGCCGTGGCCGCTCCAGACGGCCGACTCGTACTTTGGCTGGTGGCGGACGGCCGGCCTCGCCGAGCGGCAGGCCTCCTTTGCGTGGGCGGGCCCGTACGACCGGATGCGCGCCAAGCAGCAGCTCGCCGCGGGCGCCGGCCTCGCCGTGCTCGAGAATGTCGACCCCACCCCCTCCAACCTCGTCGGCGCCGGCTACCTCGCGACGCTCGCCTCCGCGGCGCCGCCCGACAAGGTGGCGAACGCAAGCACGGCCATCTTCTGCCTGCTGCGGCTCGAGGTGAACCCGCAGCGCGGGGCGGCGCGCCTGACGGTACGCTCGCGCCACGCGCCCCTCGCCGACAGCTTGGTGAAGGCCTTCGCCGCCGCCTTTGGCAACGTCGCCGCGCCCATACCGTGATGAAACACTCTTCGTGGCATGCTCTCTCAGAAAAACGAGGTCGTCTCTCAAGAGTTCGAGTCGTAGAGACACTGAACACAAGTACCGTCACAGTCCTACCTGCTGGAGGGTGTCTGTGAGTGTGATTCTCTTCTACAGTTCGAAAAGCGTACGCACGTGTAGCCGGTCCCTTGTTGGCCGTGATGAGTTTTGACGGATTGACGGAGCTCGGAGGCGCGGCAGGCGGGCTGCGGCCTGCGCGCGGCTTCGGGCGAGCATGCTGTCAACACAGTGTGTGTCGTGTGTGTGAGTGAGTGTGTGTAAGTGTGTGTGTGTGTGTGTGTGTGTGTGTGTCTGCCTGTCTCACTCACACGCCACTGGGCACGGGACTCTAGTGCATAGTGCGCGCTGGCACACACGTCGTGTCGTGCGGAAAAGAATTTTACGACAAAAAGCTCTCCGTCTCACGAGTCACGAGACATGCGGGGCACGGGACTGGCGCGCACTGGCACTAACACGGTCACGGGTCGCATACGGCGACAAGTGCACCTTGTGCGTGCATGTGTGCACGTTGGGCAAGTCGTGTTCGTCGGCGCCCTCGTAGAGCTTGAGGGTGATCGGGTCCTTGAGGCCGCCGCAGGGCAGCGCCGTGAGCGCCGTGCTCCACTCGAGGAGGTGCAGCCGCTCGAGACTGCCAAGCCCCGTCTCGGGTGACTCGTCAAGGATGATCTCGCGCAAGTAGCGCGGCGCCTCGGAGCCGGCGGCCGCAAAGCCCGCCTTCGCCTCGGCGCTGACCGACGCGTCCGGCCAAGCGAAGCACCCAAGGAGCTGCTCGCGGCTCAACTCGGTGTTTCCGTGCAGCATGTGCAGCAGCTCTGCGGCGGTGAGCGCGCCGAGCTGCAGCCGTGCGCCCGCCGAGACGCTTGTGTTGCCACCCCACAATAGCCCCAGTCGCGGCTCTGACAACTTCTCGCTGTCACATAGCACCAATCACCGCCGCCGTCGCCATCGGGGTCGCCGCAGTAGTTCGTGACCCAGGTGCCTCCGGGGCTTTGCCAATCCCTCTGGCACTCGCAGCCCTCAACAGTGATGCGCACAACAGATGGCAGGGGCGTGCCCGACGGTGGTGCCGGCGGCGGTGATGACAGTGCCCGCGGCGGCGGCGGTGGCCGCTGAGGAGGGAGCGGGAGGTCGAGAGCTAGTGGGGCACAATAGCCCCAACTACGCCCCTGGCAGCCGATAGTAACCACAAAGCACCACTCGTCAAGGTCGTTGTCGGTATTGCCGCAGTAATCGGTGACGAGGACGTAGGAGTTGCTCCACTCTTTCCGGCAAGGGCATCCCTCAGTAGTGACGCGGAGTGGCGTCGGCGGGAGTGATGGCGGTGGCGCCCACGGCAGCAGGGATGGTAGGGCCATGAGCGGGGCAGGGCCGGAGCTCGGGAGGACGCGCGCGGAAGCGCGGGTGACAACTTTCGCAAACCCCGGTGTCTTCCCACGCTATGGAACGTTGAAAAGAAAGCGCGGACTTTGGTTTCCCGCGCAATTTCGGCGCGGGGGCCTCACAATGAAATGTTCGCCCGCCGCCTAATCGCCGCAAAAACGCCGGCCAAACGCCGCTAAATCGCCGCCTGCTATCCCCCATTTCCTTTCCATGGCCGCCACTGCGGAGGCCGCATCGGGCAGTGAGGTTCGCGGCCCAGGCGGTGACGAAGTGGCATGGTTCACTGGCATCATCGACGAGAAGCACCGCCTGGCGAATGCGAATGACAGCCTTCGGGCTCAGCTCGCCAAGCACACCACGATCGTGGCCGAGGCGGCCCGCCTCCGCACCGAGCGGGACACCGCGATCGAAACAAGAGCTCAAGAGACGGGAGAGCTCAAGAGGCGTTTGGCCGAGGTCGAGGACCGCGATGCCAAGCGGCGCAAGCTTATCGTGCAGCAGCAGTACGCTTTGGCGCTGCTGTGCGCCGTCGCCGAGCCCAAGGACCTCGTGCTGGTGCGCTGGCCCGCGGGGATGGTGTCCGTCGCAAAGGTGATCTCGGCGCCGGCAAAGGCGGCGCCCTCCCTCCTTCACGTCGAGTGCTGCATCACGTCCGACGGCGAAAGGATTCGGGGACCAGTTTCCCCTGGCGCCGTCGAGGTCGTGAACAAGCACAACTTTGAGCGCTTGCTCGGCGAGGTGCCCAGCCAACTTATCTCTCATCGCCGCCCCGCCGCCGCTGCCACCTCCCACCACTGCCATCACCCACTACCGCCACCTTTCACCGCCGTCCACCACCGCCCCCACCCGCCACTGCCATCGACACTGCCATCGACACACGACACTGCCACCCCAGGTGCTCGAGCCCGCCAACTTGCGGAAGCTCGCCACTTCGGGCAGCAACACCGCCGAGCGGGAACCGGAGTTCCTTCGGCGCGCGATCAAGATGACGACCAGCGACGTCAAGGAGGGACTCCCTGCCTCCTTGACCGTGCCGATCGAGGCGCTCGCTGCGCAGGCGGAGCAGCGTCTGGCCGCTGTTGGAGGAGACGCGTCCGGCGAAGTGGAGGACTGGAGGCCAAGGTTGGCAGGGTGCCCGCCACGCTATCGACCCTCCCCCCCCTGGGGCGGCCTCAATGCCGCCAACGAGACGAGCGACAGCGAGGAGGAGCAGGAGGCCACGGTGGAGTCGTGAAGCGTGGCCCAGTGAGCAGCTATCTTGCCAGCCGCACGCAGCAACGCGCAACACAAAAGTTATGTGCTCGTCTTACCCTCTGTCTAATGCGGGAATATATTGTATTATAGACTTCCGTACCATGCGGAATCGATCCGGATATCGGCGAGATGCCGAGAATCGCCAATATCCGCGTAAAGTTTAAACCGAGACAGTCTCTACTCTCCTTCACGGCAGTCTACTGAGCAAGGGGGACTCGCGCACGGCCAAGGAGAATCTTGGAGCACTTGGAGTGCGCTGCGGAATTCTTTGTTTCGCCAACCGCGCGCGATTCTTTTTTCGCACGACACCGTGGTGTACCTGTGTTGGTGCCAGTGTGCGCGCCAGTCCCGTGCCCAGTGCCCCAGTGGTGTCGTGCGAGGCGGGGGTTTCAAAATTCTTTTGGGAGCGAAAATTCTTTTTCCCAGTGTTGTGCGAGGGAGACTTGTAAAATTCTTTTTTCGCGTTGTTGTTGCCGACAGACGACAGACGTGGGGCAGGACCCTCGACTACCCTCCGACAGACGTGTCACGAGCCTAACGTCTTCGACTGCTTACAAACGTTGGTCAAACATCATGAGGTTCGGCACCGCGCTCCTGCTCCTGGTGCCCTTCCTCATTGTTGCCTCCTTCTTCTACACGCGCGACAGCATTCACGCAAGACAACCGCGCGCGCTCTCGCTCTCTGGCCAGGACATCGCCCGGCGGCAGCGGCAAGCAGCGGCCGCAGCAGAGCTGCGAGCTGCGGCCGCAGCAGAGCAGCCACGGCCGGCCGCGGCCTCGCATCCTGAGCCGCTTCGCAAGGTCGGGGCCGGCCTGCAAATGGACTTTGGGTCGCTCGGTGTCGTTAGGGTCAACCTACGGCCCGAGTGGTCGCCGACGTCGTTCGAGTACGCGACCGGCGTGGCTGCGGCAAGTCGATGGCTTCGTGAAGCCGTCACGCAGTGCCCGGAGGCTCGCCTCCCGGATCGTGAGCAGCTTGTGGCGGCAGCCGGCCAGCACCGCCCTCTCCATCGCCGCGCTCTCCGGCGGCACCTCCTCGTCCGCCGCGCCCGGGTCGAAGAAATCGAGCGTCAGGCCTGCGGGTGGCTGCACGAGCAGCTGCGCCCACCGCTGCGAGAGCTCGGGGTCGAAGTCGGAGAGCACGGCGAGCGCGGACTGCGGGTCCTTGAAGACGCGCCACTCGTGCGCGTCCGCCAGAAACTCGAAGACGAACCGGCCGAACCCGCGGCCGAGGGGCTGGTCGTCGAGGACGCACCGGCACATGATGCGGCCGATGTTGTTCATCGACTGCAGGTCGGCGGTGGGCGAAGGCAGCAGCCCGATGCTCGTCGACGTATCGTCGCCGGCGCCCTCGAAGAGGCCGAAGTCCGGGAGCAGCACCTCACGGAAGAAGCAAGAGTAGAGCTCGACAGTCAGGCCACCGAGGTCCTCCCCCTCCTCCTTGCTGCCGTGCACAACGAAGGTCCCCTCGGTGCGCTGGAAGAGCTTGAGCTTGGTGTCTGCCGCCTTGATGGCGGGCGAGAAATGCCCAACGACATCTTGGCAGAGCTGGTTGCGCCGGACCGTTAGTCTCCACGGCTTGTTGCGCGCCGTCTTGGACGGCAGGTACTGCAGCAGCATCTCGACGTACTGGCGGAAGGCGAGGAAGCGCCGGAGGAAGGCGCCCTCGTCGAGCTCATCAGCAGCAACCACGAGCGACGACGCGGCGCTCGACGCGGCGGCCTCCTCGAGCGGCTCGGAAGTAAGCCGATTAGTGGGCTCAACAGCCCTCCGTCGGGCGCGCTTCACTTGCACGCTCAGGTCGCTGTAGCCGTTCTTCACCGCGCTGTAGCCCTCGGCAGCTCGTGACTGCGACACCGTTTGCTTGGAAGCACGGCGTCAACGGAGCCGGGGAGGATGTTAATTCCAAGGAATTGGCGTTCGTAGGCGCCGGGCACGTCGCCCCAGAATTTCTTGTCGCTCTCGCCCGTGCCCTGCAGATTCCTTCGAGCTTGCTCAGCCTTAGCGGCCTTCTCGTGGCGCTTCCGGGCGGCCGCCTCCTTGGATGCGAGGTTGAGGGCGCTCGGCATCGACGCGGGCAACGTGGGAGCGCAACACGGGCGCCTGAATGTTTAGACGTTTGCGTTTGGAGCCCGCCGGGAATGTAACTGAATGTCACGACCCCAAACCGTCTCATCAATCCGTTGGCGACCGGTACAATTGTAGCCAGGTGTATTTTATTTTTGCTTGGGGCGGCCCTCATGACGGGGTAGGTAGGGTAGGTCTGGGCTGTCCCGTCGGGGTTTTTCCCTCTCTTCACGCCGGAATTTTCACAGCAGAAAAAGAAATTTTCCGCCCAAATCACGATGTCAACCCTCCCCAAGTCGTTGATCTGGTGCTTGTAGGGCTTGAGAGTGGCCTGCCATGTCACAAGAAGGACTGTGGTTGCAGGAGAGTACCACCAACCATCACTCTAGTTGGTATAGTACCCCACCTTCACCCGTCCCATGATTTCTTTTTTAGTTTCCCATAAGTAAGGTAGGTAGGTAGGTAGGTAGGTAGGGGCACCGCAGGGGCCGGTCAGGTTTTTCCTGAATTTCATCATGAGGGCCGCCCCAAGCAAAAATAAACGCCACCTGTTGTAGCAAGGAAAAAAAACGACACAAAAAGGAGTCTCCATCGCGACGCTGCGAGCGAGAGTCTGCCGCCAGGCCGCCCGCCTGCGCCGAGCCGCCCGCGCGATCACATATGTCGTCAGCCAGCTCCTCCTCATTCTTCATCGACCCCGTCGTCGCTCATTCGCCGCGGCAAAAAAAGCGGCAGGCGCCGCGCTCGGACACTCCGCCGACCGAGTCTCGAGGGCTTGGCGATCGCTTTGTGCCGCAGCGCTCCGCGATGGACCTGGACGTGTCCAACTTTGAGCTGACGCGCGGCTCACGCGACGGGCATGGCGGCGTCAACGCGTCGCCCGCCAAGGAGGAGTACAAGAAAGTGCTCGCGGCAAAGCTTTTTGGCGGGAGTGCGACCAACAAGGTCCTCTCCTTCAACGCGAAGCCGCCGCCGCCGCGGGAGGACCACCAGTCATCGCTGCGCGTGCTCTTCACCCGCAACCGCGACGCCGGCCTGCTGCCCAAGAAGTACTCGCGCCACATCCCTCAGGCGCCCGAGCGGATCCTCGACGCGCCAGAGGCGCGCAGCAGCAGCCCGCCCACCACAATCCGCCACCACAGAAAAGGGCATCTTCCGTGGCGCGGGCACCCCGGGCCGGGGTAGCGCCGGCGGATCGCCCGGCTCCCAGCGCCCCCGGGCTCTCAGCGCCCCACCACCCCACTCTCCCTCTCGCCCCCTTCACCCGCCCGCCTCCTTGCCAGCTGCCCTTCACCCGCCCGCCTCCTTGCAGCTGCTCGACGACTACTACCTGAACCTGCTCGACTGGAACGAGCGCAACGTGCTGGCGGTGGCGCTGGGCGACTCGATCTACCTGTGGAACGCCTCGGACGGCTCCATCCAGCAGCTCATGCAGACGAGCGGCGACAACTCGCACGTGAGGCCTCGCCCGCGGCTGGAAGGGGGGGAGGGTTCTGGGGGGGGAAGGAGGGGGGGAAGGGGTCCGAGGGTCCCTCGATCGAGGGGATTGGGAGCTGCATGTCCTCCGGTGGGGACCTCCGGCCGAGAGGCGAGGGAGAGCGGCTGCTTCTCCCCCTGCGGCTGCCTGACTGCGCCCTCTCCCCCCCCCCCCTCTCTCCCTCTGCTGCAGGTGACCTCGCTCGCGTGGGTGCAGGACGGGCCGGGGGGCGAGGGGCGGTACATGGCGGT